CAGCAAATGTGATCTGTCAGCAATGAACCACACGTCCGGCCTGTTGGCGCATCCAAGCATATCCCACTGGTCCTCGTTGCTTGACTTATAGACTGGCCATATGCAATGTGTCTGAAGTGAGTCGATAGATGTCGTCGCCTCGTCCTTCTCTAGATGCTTCTCAATTTCAAGAAACAGGGCTTTGATGTAAGAGAGAGGGTCGCCGACAGTGAGCAACTTGGTCTCACGTACCAGGTCCGCAATGCCAGCGTCGGGAAGCAGGAAGAAATCACGGAACAGCCGCTGGCAAGATGGGTATACGTTCTTCAGAGCAACAAATCGTCGAAGGCATTCGGGGCCACTCCACAAGCAATCTTGCACCTTCACCCAACGGGGTTCTCCTCCAACTCTTTTATTCGGAATGCAGACAAGCGGCTTCTGGTCGAACGATTGCCTCACAACGTCAGGCAGTTCTGAGCATCGGGCTTGGATTTGTTCAAGCAGTAGAGCAGCACGGTCGATGACGGCTGCATCTTTGTCACCACTCAATGTTTCGAGGCATCGGAGATAGAAACAAACGTCACCCTCGACACCAAGGCCCAGGATCTTGAGTCTCTGCCAACGTGGGTCGAGAGGATCATCGACATCAACGAATGGCACCTGACCGTTGGCTTGCTGAACAAGTTCTGAGATGGGTAGGAAGACCTCCCGCAGAGGTTTCTTCCCACCTCCCAGGCACTGCACTTGTGCTTCTTGCAGCGATTTTCTGACTCGTTCTCGATATACTTGTCTTTCCTTTCTTGAATCATCTCGGGGACCGCCCGCGTCGTCTTCGAGCCACCGCGCATAGTAACCCCAGTTGTCTCTCAAGAGGACCAGAAAATCCTTAGACTTCAGATCCTGCATGATCAAGGCAAAGTGGCGAGATAGTCCAAAGGAGTGTGGCGATTGTCCGTCAGCCTGTGTGAGACGTGGCAGAATGGAGATTTTGGCAGCGTTCTCCAACCACTCCAGCCAGCTCGTTTGATCGTCCTTTACAGCGTCCAAATAGTGTGGATGTATAAATCCGATATCGTTCCGACCTGCGAAGTACTGGCTCGCAGCAAACGGAGCCGCCCACGGCAGATATGCGCTTTCCGCACGGCAGCGGCCAGACCCATCCGTTGTGGCAAACCAAAGATATCTGACTTCATAGTCATGCACCCTGGCGCGGTAGAGGAACACTGCTTGAGATAACAGATGCTCAAGGGACATATTTTTTGCGTTGAATGAAGGCTGGGTATGCACATGAAGGATAAAATCGGCGATGGCATCTTGACCAAAGACCTTGAGTCCGAGCTGAAGATATAGTGATCGAGCTGTGGAGTTGTTGGCAGCATCTTCGCGGACCAGTCGAAATGCGAGACCCTCAGGCGCCATGCAATTTTCGGCTTCTTGAGGAAGGAAGATGGACTTTTCCTCGGCGGACACCCATCGTCCGTCGTTGAGAGGAATGATCGCTAGCTTACGAAGCTGCTCGTGATGTTCAGTATCGAAAGAGAGCTTCAACAGGATTTCGGCGAGTTGTGTATGCCAATCAACGGTTTTGGTCGTCTGAAACAATTCTGTGTTTTGTTTGATGTACACATCTAGATGTTTCAAAAATATGGCTGCGGTCATCTTTGTAACGCCCAGTGCTTCCAGGTTATCGTGAAGGGATTCGTCATAGTGTTGGCACAGATATATCCGATCGTTCCTCGGGGATGAAGTCATTGGAACCCCTCGTCTGTCGCAAAAGTCCACAGGGACATATGTTAAGGCGGACGGCATCATCAATTCTTGGGCTCTGGACTTCAAGACTGGCTGTCGCGAGAGTGCTTGACAGATTTCCCGCCTGGCTGGTTCGAAGAAGTGATATTGGGTCATTTTGAAAGGAATGAACCTGGGCCAGATATAACACAACTGGCCGTGACTGTAGGCTCTGGTGACAGCAACAAATGCCTTGGCAAACTGACTCCGAAGAGCCTTGTTCCAAGCGGAGTCTGACAAGACATCCTCGCGACTGGCCGAAAGGAGAAAGTCTCCCTGAAGGAGGAACTAAAGAGGATTTCGTGAGATTGCAACTCCATTCACAGAAATATTCACATACCGTAAAGCCGTAGTCTCGTATCGGCAGGAATGCATACACCTTTTGAGATATCAATGTCTGGTCTGTAATGTCCGGGAAGGCAAGTAGGATCTGAGACTGGTGTGCACCAGGACGTTTGGGTTCAACTGGTAGGTTCTGAGCGATGTGTGAGCTGATAAGGTACTTGGTGACTTCCCCATCCCGAGTCAATTCAATTGCTGTTTCGCCGTGGCTCGTGCCCACGCTTTTGCCGAATGTGGTCTGCCAGCCTGGGTTGCCGTCTTGAATCGTGATTGTTACTCTTTTCAAGCGACGGAGAAACATCAGCATGCGAGGGTCAAACTCTTTCAAGTCCGAGACCAGCTGACTCTCGTCGTACTCTGGAGATAACTGCAAGATCATGGATGTCATGGAAGGCGTGGCTGGCTCTGGGAAAGATTCCCATATGGGCGCAATCATGCCTAAGACCTGTCTCTTGTCGAATTTAAAGCTGTAGCTGTTGGACGAGATCCAGACAACATCGGCAGCTTTAAAGACCGACTTGAAACCAATCCCTTTCTCTCCGACGTAGGCGGTAGCGCGGTTGGCGCCAGCTTTGGTACTGCTGCCCACTCTGCAGATGGCCTCAACATTCTTCTCACTGAAGCCTTTCTCATTACAGTCGATCCTCAGACGTCGATTCTGGTATGTTAGGGAGATACTAGGTTCAGCCACGTCATACTCGTTGTCATCGGCATTCTGTATGAGCTCGAGGAGGAAATGGGTGGACTTCTGGTACAATTCATCTGCGAGACTGGGGTATGGTTAGACATAACTCAAGGTACAAGCACAGCAAGGCAATGGACTATTCACGTGTGAAGAGCATTCTGGAGGTTCTCGACATTTCGGCTCGTTGCACTGGTGTCGTCCAGTCCGGCTTCTTTCCTTATGGTGTGAATATGGTGTCGAGCCTTTTGCACAGCCTGATCTTGGTTCAGCTGTACCATTGTGGGAAGTCGCCTGAAAGTGTAGAGGTGTGCAGGTTGACGACAACTTGACGGAGAGAACGGCCTTTTGTAGCAACCGACGGACCCAAGCAAATCACACCCCACGAAGTGTGTTGACTCGGGCAAAGCAAGGCAGAATGCGAGTTAGCCATACCATGCCATACCTTAGTCTAGCCAAGACAACGGAAAGGCTGAGCAAGGCAACCCATTTTCATCAGTATCGGACAAACCATGTCGCTTCAACCCGATGCATCTTCATCGGTCGTCCAAGGACTAGCCGGTGGAGGACAACATGTATTCTTTAGGGCGCGTGGCTGCCTGGAGGCTACCGATTCCCCGTGCCAGCGAACCTCGAGTGGGACTGCATATGCCTCCACCCTGAGGCTTGTAGCGGGTACTCCAGACTGGTAGCGCACACATCTCCCTCGGGAGCTGCATCCCAAGGCGAGTATACGCGAGATGACACGAAGCCAATCAGCGTAGGTGTTTCGTCTTGACCGATTTGTTGAAAGAAGGAAGTTACAAAGGTTTCGAAGTCGAACATCTCGGCAACATCGGACTGTACGGCACGTGATGACGGAATCGTAATTATGTTTCTCCGAGGTTTCTCGCCAAGCATTGGATCAAATCGAGCGTATCTTCTGCCTCGTTGACAAAAGATGATGATGCAGGACATAAGATCGAGATACACCCATTGTATCCACGGAACGTGCGGCAGAGGAGCCACCAGGCAAGAATGGTGACGGAGTGGCATCCTTGCGGTCTCTTGAACAATTCCCCTACACATTCCTATGCGGTTATCATCCTCAACCAGCCCATCAACAAGCACGCCCTGAGCGCCGTTATCGGGGCAGCCTCGTTGCTCGTATGTGCCGACGGCGGCGCCAACAGGCTGTATAATTACGACAAGGCCGCGCAGAATGGCATGTCTAGGCTGAAGCGCCGTGTTCCAGATGCCGTCATAGGGGATCTGGACTCCCTGACTGAGTCGGTCGGAGAGCATTATCGCTCTCTCGGATCCCAAGTTATCAAGGACCCTGATCAGCACTCTACAGACTTCACAAAGTGCCTTAGATGGATTCGCGACTGGGCGATATCAAAGCATGAACGCGGCGCATCCGGTCATGGCGAAGCGTCACAGCCTATCATGGATGTCGTGGTACTGGGGGGACTCGGAGGTCGAGTAGATCAAGGGTTTTCACAAGTCCACCACCTTTTTATGGCCGAGAACCACCCAGCACTCCTGAGGGGCCGCATATATCTATTGTCGGAACAGAGTTTGTCATTTGTTCTAGCTGATGGCCGCAATCTCATCCACCTCGAACCGGGTTATTTTGCAGAGAATGTGGGAATCCTGCCTGTCCTCGGCCGCACATTCCTCACTACCAAGGGCCTTGAGTGGGACGTTGAACAATGGCCCACCGAGTTTGGTGGCCAAGTGAGTACCAGTAACCACATACGATCCTCTAAAATCGACATTGCCTTCGAGGGTCCCAGACCGTTGTTCACTCTGGAACTGGACCAACGTCTGGCGGCTACCTGTGAATGAGTCTTCCATCGTCGATAGGAACTGGCGCTCTTGTAACATGCCTGTCGCAGACGGGAATCGACCCTTTGTCGCCGATGGAGGCTTTCTTCAGACTGCCTAGTGACCAAAACCCGAAGGTGGCTGTCGGGTTCATGCTCGGATGCTGTTTGCATGGCAAGCTCGCCTGTCCGCCTCTGCTTCAAAACTGCAGGTTTCTTGGACTCTTTGTAGTCTGACGAATCGGACGCAAGCTCGAAACCACCTGCCACGAGGTGGCTCTGATGCAACCAGCGCTGGAATGAGTGGCGCGATTGCTTCGCGGAGTACCCAGGCCAGGGACGGCTGCTGAGTGACGATGCAAGGGGTAAAGGCTCATGTCCTGTGAGGCCAAGGTGGCCAATCAGCCTGGCTTCTTTGTGCGAAAGGGGGAGTGCTTGTGCGTTGATGGAAAGCTGCCAGCTGCCTCTTTCCCACACGTTACCTGGGTAGGACGTGATTTCTTGGTGCCGTACCAGTCAACATCGCTTAAGTTGAGTCTTCTTGCTCGTGGCGCGTGGCGCCCCGACCTCTCAGCACGACTGAGGGAAGGATTGTAGTGATCGGGTCCTAATTTGAGTCCTTTAGTATTGGGGTTCTTTTCCACGGGAGGTTGAATAATAGGGCCACAAGAAAATCCATTGGGAATACCATCGTGTTGATCATCTTCGCGCAGATCATAATTGAGGACCAGGTTCTTGATGCGTTGTTGTTCCTCCCTTTCGGCAGCTTGCTGCGATTTCATGGAAACGGCGAAGCTCGAGTCCGACGGTAGCTTAATTGTCTTTGTCTAAAATATTGTTAGCAACAGCGATCATCCAGATCCCGACCATACCACTAGTCAAAAGAGGGTCAATGGGGGTTACTTGCTTGTTGTCGATTTCCCCTCTTTGTCATCAAGGAGAATGCCATTGTATTCGATTCCGCTTTTGGAGCAGGACTCGGTTCGTCCTCATTCGGCTCGATTGGCGCTCGCTGGATCTTGCGGATGGGTAAAGGTACGTCGAAATGAGTCTTGCGCTCGAACTTCCGCGAGTCCAAGCTTTCGGCCATCATCTTTTCGAATGCGCGGTCAAACTCGGCCTCGACTTCTGGGTCCAAATGTTCCTCTTGACGCAAGACAACAATCTGTTCTTCTTCATCGGAGTCAATGTCTTCTTTCTCTTCACCTGTGTCCTCTTCTGCTGCTGCTGCTGCTGCCGCCGCCGCCTTCTCCAAGTCAGAGGTTGATCTCAGCTCAGACCGGTACAGTGCTTACCTCGCCTTCTTCATCTGATGATCGCGCGATTTCAGCGTCAAGTTCAACATCACCTTCACCAAGTCCATCTTCGGAAGCAGTGTCTTCAATGTCTTCTGGTTGCTCCACACTTTTTTCGGCCCCTTGCTGCCTGTAGTTCGCGCTTACAGCTTCAGCAAATAGTTTGGCCGCCTCGCCGAGCTCAGTGACTAGCTTCCAGTTCGGGCGGACAAGGGAGTAAGTGTCCTGCACTAGGAACTCAATTTCCATGGGCAGGGGATCCTTTGTGGCCATGTAGTACTGAAAGAAAGTCAAAAAGAAATCGAGCTTTTTGCGGGAGCTACCTCTGTCAAAACAGATGCCACAAGTGTCGAGGAGAGTGCATATCAGTCGGATCCGGAAGAACTCATCGGGGGGATCAAAGGGTGTGAAGTTCCCAGGCTGAGGTGTTCCACCTTCATGGCCAAATGTCACGATCCGATACAACGTGTCGAACACCACGGTGGAGTCGATCATCTTGTAATTGTAGAGTTCGCCCAGGTATTTGACTTCAGCCACTCTTCGCTGATTGAACTTGAAATCGTTCTGCTCCAGACCCAGAGTAATTTGTTCCAAGACATTGTCTATAATGCCAACGGTAAAGTCTTGATGATATCGAAAAAGAGCCTGCAGAAGAACAGCCAAGAGATGGATGTTGCTGAACTTGACTTTTCCCGGCTTGCTGAAAATCTTCTCTAACATCTGGACAACCTCCTTCTCTTCCCAATGGAGTTTTCGAATGGTCTTGAGCACCTTCATGTAGTTTCGCTTCGTCATGTCCACATATACCAGTTGTCGAACAAAGAGTTCCGTTGGCGTACGCTCTTTTTGTTGGATGGCAGCGCGCTGAGGAGGGTCGACATAGTACAACGCGTTTTCGATAAGCATACGCTCTTGGGTCCCCATGTGCTGTGCAGATTTCTTGCGGTTCAACGTCTCAAGGAAAGACGACATTCGAGGAGATGTCTCGGGGTTGCGCAGGAGATATCGACCGCAGTTTTCGAGCAAATGGGCAATGATCTCAATGTTCATCCTCGAAAAGTCATCCAAACTGACTTTGAAACAGTGGAAAATGACGTGCTCTGGGACGATGCCAAACTTGGTGAGTTCCGCCAAATATCGGATGTTCGCCATGCGAATTTGCCCCAAAAAATCTTTTGATTTTCGTCTCTGAAGGCTTCGAAATTCGTCATCAAGATGCGAGATTAGACCCTGCACGACATCAGGCATATACTGCCCAAGAGTGGCAGCAAGTCGTGCATACAAAGGTAGTAGATCTAGTCGACCTTTGGGGACTTCCTGGATGGTCTTGACGAGACGATTTCGGGAAGCTTTGGAGTTGAGGAAGCAGAAGTCCAAAGCAACCTGGTCGACCATATCCTTGGTTTGCAGTTCTGGCAGGCGCAAAAGAATGGCATCGACTTGAGCCCCAACAGTCTTGTTCGTGATGGCGGTAGACTGCTCTTCGTTCTCTTGTGGCTTATTCGTCCCGCCTTCACCGGATGTGGCGGCAGCTTCACCACGTTCATCTGTTTCTGGCTTCTTTTTTGAATCCTCCAAAAGAATGCCTGGCACTCGACCCTTGAGGTCAACCAAGTTCTCGTAGAAACGGCGTTCTTCTTCGTCTTCCCAGATGCCAGCGCCCTCTCCTTGACCTTTGAGGTAGTCGCCTGTCTTGATCATCCCCACGCTCCCTGAAGTAGTAGTCTCGGCGCTGTCTTTCTCTTCGAGATCTGGCATTTCTTGTCCGAGGACATCACAAAGGACTTGGGCATTTGCAACTAATTTCTCTTGGGCTTTGACCTGCTTCTCGAAATTTGCTTGTCTGTCTTCGAAAATTTCGCCGCTTTTGACATAAGCCTCTGCATTTCGGCGGCTTTGATTGTTCAGAGATCTCTGGTCTCGAATGACGTGGGATTTTACTGTAGTCAAATATCGTTCTAGGACGTTAATGAATCTCTGCCGGATGGGTTGAGGGATAATGGGCGCGTCTTCCTCAGAGGGGGCAGAGGAGCCTTCGCCATCTTTGGCTTGCTCGACAATCTGACCGTCTGCGTCAACTGTTTTTCGGCCTTCCTCCGACGGTGGTTTGAGTCCCAGAACATCCCAGGCAAAATTCTTCACAAAAAGAACAGCAAGACTGAGGTTAACATGCTCGGGATCATGGCCTAACAAATCCTTCAGAACTTCCAGGGGAAACGGATCCTGCTCGACATTCGTGTCGGATCGAACACCATTTGTGCCCACCTTCGGTTTGGATTCGGGTTGTGAAGGCGCATCTTTGCCCCGGGTTGTAGCTTCATCTGGTCGATCCGCATCATCCAGGCTTCGAAGAATGCCACATAGCCAGAATTCGGTGACGACACGAAGGAGAACTCGGTGTCGAACTAGACGCTCTTTCTCTTCCCGTTCGCGGACTTCCTGGCTCCACAATTTCACCTGAGCCTTGTCAGGAGTTGTCAAGCCCTTGCCCAGAAGCCATGCCAGCTGCTTGGTGAATTCGTGGGGTCCAAATCTCTGGTGTAGTGCGCTGACAACCTCGACACCCGCGGCAATCTCACTCGCAGTCTTCAGTCTACCCAATCCTTCGGCTGTGGCAGCTATGATCTCGGAGAGGTATTTTTGTAGGGATAACGTGCGGATCTCGGACAGAAAGGTGTCTTGTGCAGCAGACGACAACCCAGTTCGGAGCCGTTTAATAAACGCCGTGTTTTTCTTCAGAGACGAATCGAGCGAGTTTGCTGTTTCGTAGACATCTGCGATAGCACGGCAATTAGTGTCGGCGCCATTCCGTCGAGAGATGGATGCTGACCTTTTGCGCCTGCCCAGACGCGTAAATTTAAGTCACGTAGTTCTCCTGCGTTTGACTTATTAGTTTACCATCTCCCAAATCAACGACAGAGTGAGCATACTCTTGCGCTTGCGGTCCATGACGGCCCGCGGTTTTGTGAAGAGGATCCTGACGCTCGCATGACGACAGGATGAGATGCAGAGGAGCTGCAGGAATCCTGCCCTGGAGATCGAACGGTAGATGTCACTACGCGTTCGTCGCTGTCGGATTGCGCACCAGGCGGGTAGTGAATGAATGACCGATTCACTTTCCAGGGATATCCAGTTGGAGGGGCAATAATATTATGTTTTCACCCAAGCCTGCATCGGGGGTAGCTAGAGCCCGCCGTGATGATGGGTGCCAAGAGCCCTCGCCAGCCCTGGCAATCCAGCGAACCAGCCAGCGACGTCCCTGCTCAATGGGGGGAATCAAGCTGAAGCAGCCTTGCAGGGGGTAACTGGGGTTGGTGTGACACTGGACGTTGGACTGACTTTACATGGGTACAGCTGCTGCTTGCTCATTATGATTCTATCTACCACTTTATGCACTTCATGATAGTCATGCACACATGGGTGTCCCCTTCTACTTAGACCTGTTCCTCAAACACCTTTGCTTTTTGTGCGGCCAATTTGCTTTTTCGTGCACGTGCAGCTTCCTGATCAGCCACAGGCTTTCCATTCTTTCCATCGTCTCCCTTTGGACGCTTCCGCGAGCCAGACTGAGGGCCTTTTGTGCTAGCTGCTTTTCGCTTACGCTTCTGCCCTTGTTGGGTATCGTTTTCCAAAGATTCTGTTTCCTGTGTCGCTGCAATTATATCATCATGCTCGGTCCACAGGTCGTCCGCCAACCATATTGGCACTGCAAACGAAGATTGGCCTTTTATGTGTATTCCTCTTACATTCCTCCAACCTTTGACAACATGCTTTTCAATCAGTTTGGACACAATGGTTGAGATATTTTCTGACAACTGCTCGGGCTTGAATGAGGACAGGCCAGCACGAACAGCAACGAGTGTACCAGGTCGCAGGCTGACAGGTACCGCATTGACCGCTTTTTCAATTTCTCTAGCAAGCGCTGATGGTGAGATAGGAGCAGCAGCACCGTCTTCCTTTGACTTTTTGGGCTTAGTTGTCTTGTCCCTCCTTGGGTCTGCGATTATGATTGGGATGGGCCGTTTGGAGGTTGCTTTGTAGAAGACTTTGCCTAGAATTGCTGGTAGTCGAGTGACGATGCGATCGTCGGCGAGAAAGAGGTCGTGTTCAGAGAGCAGTTCCCGTAGTTGTTCGAATGTCTTATACCTCGCTTTGAGCTTGGTGATTCCGATAATTCGAGTGATGCGGGACTTGAGATGTTCGGGAAATGCAGGATCTGCCACCACGTTTTTCACTGCTCTCTGGGGATCGGTGGTGATGAGACATATCCGAAGGTCTGGAGATGTGTTGAGCGGATGCGGGACGGTAATTTTGCTAGGCTTCAGACGGTGTTTATCCACGATATGTTGTTTTGTGGTGAGGGTGAGCCAAATCGTCGCTGTCGTTTCGTCAGGCCCATCCTCTTCTGAATCCGAGCTGCTGGCAGCAAGGAGACTCTTTTTCGACGAGGCCTGCTGTAAGCGCTTGGTTTCTGCTTGAATATGCTGCAACAAGGCACGGGAAGCTTTGAGGGTCTAGAGGGGAATGCGTTAGCAAAACCGCTTCCGTACATGCGACCAGTGCATAAATACCTGGTCGGGATCGAGCTGGTAGGGAGTTTGTTGGGGCTGCTTGGAGGCGACGGTGGTCGTGACCTTCGCTACAGTAGCCATCGTACAAGTGGCGTTGTGTCAATATGTGTGTTGAATGAGAGTAGAAGTCTTTGAGTTGCGACAATGTACTCTCATTTCAACAGGCGTGTCGAGAAAAAAAGTTTCTTGAAAGCCCTTGATCCACTAGCTTTGCTCCTGGCAAGTCGCAGTGTGGGGAAAAATTCGAATCTCGCTCGGCTGACCTTCTTCGATCTGCATGCACTTTGAGCTAATATCGAAAGACGTGGTGCAGTCTGACAAGAAAATGGATGCCCGCAGCTGGTTCACTCTGACTTGTTTACTCCGAGTACTGGTTAATGAAGGTCATTTTTATTCTGTCCTTACCTCCACTAGCATCTCAATCCTCTATTGACTCTACTTAACTGTATCTAAATTAGAGGATATATCGTAGTTGTTGAGGTATTACACCAACATTCTAAAGTGGAATCTTTATTTTTTCGTCTGACTTTTCCATTTATTTCCGAATCTAGCTTACCGACTCTAATATTAATCAATCATGATGCGTCGCCAACTTTCTCCCCTTGGTCATCCCGGCACAACCGATGAGCCGGACGGGGATGGGCAATGCAGAAAAGAAAGATTCGTTGGGATCTCTCACGTAGCTGTGGTGGTCTTCTTCAGCAATGGTTACAGAGGTCTACAGTATCCTACATCGACGACAGACGGTTGATGCAGTATCACTATGAGCGGTAGAAGTCCTCTCACATCGCACGGACATGTAGTAGAGGCCGCATAGGTACATTTACATGCAGGTCGGTGTACGATGAGGGCAAACATGCAATGTAACTCTAGCGTAGAAAGTAGCCAACGACTTATCTGCCAGAATATGTAAGGCCATTTTCGCACACTTACTTTCCTTCCCACCTCAATAATACAATTGACTTGCAAGCTCCACAGTCTCGAGACGGTGGTATTGGGCCGACGGTGAGCAAATCTCTCGAGGATCGGTGCCAGACGCGCTCCTCGTGCGTGTCATGAGCAGTTAGTGGCGTCTGAAAAATGCTGGCGCGCCAGAACGTCGACTCGGGCCACTCCACATCTACCATTCGGGTGTCGTTTCTCCAATCCACATCGCGTGAGTTGCCCTCGATCCATCCATTCCAGCACCTCCAGCACCACCAGCACCTTTGCAAATGTCCAACCTCTCTTGACCTTTGACCTCTTGCGTGGCCAGCTGCATTCTTGACTTGGTGTTCTTCTTCCTTGCTCTCGATTACCCTTCAGCTGAACCTCTCATGAGCAGATACATCCCGCTGAACCCCGTACCTCTGCCGAGGACGCGTTTTTGAGCTGGTCAATCTACCCCCGGCGACCGCGCCTCCCCAGTAGCTGGACTACGTGACGCCTGAAGACCATGGCTCCCTCGACCACTTTCGCAGAGACGGTCATGTCACCCTCTCCAGGCCCCAAGAGATCAGCAACCTCACTACTTCCTGCCTTCGAACCGCTATCTTCGTCACCAGCCTTACCGAGACCCCTCAAGCGAAACCGAGATGCACTCGACGAGAGCACGACCTACCCTACACCCGTCCCTACTTCTTCCACCGCTATTTTATCTTCCTCGCCAGTACATGTAGCCAAATCCCGGCCCAGCCTCCACAGGACTTCTTCTACCCTTGCTGAACGTACTCCTCTCGGTGCCGTACCCTCAATCCAATTACAAGCCGACGGCAAGGTAACGCGTATGGGAAGATCCAGCGCTTCTTGCGACTATCAATTCTCAGCAAATCGTCTCATATCCAGGGTTCACGTGGAGGCTTGCTACAAAGCTGCGGGTTCGCGTCTGGAGCGTGATCGTGTGGAAATCACGTGTACTGGTTGGAATGGTATTAAGATACACTGCAAGGGACAGGTGTACGAGGTTAAGAAGGGAGAGACATTTTCGTCCGATATTAGGGACTCGGAAATCATGATTGACGTTCATGACAGTCGCGTCGTGGTGGATTGGCCTCCGAAACCTCACCTCGGCGCCTTCTCGTCTGAAGACGAGGAGGATGCTTCTCCTGCGAAGCGCAAGCGCGCCATGTTGCGCCATTCAACACCGCCCAGCCCAAGTCCAATGCAAGTTCGACGACGACTTTCTTCTCCCATATCCCCGTCTCCTGCCGTACAGGCCGTAATGCCTTCTTCACCGCCACTCCCTCCAGCTACCGTCGAAATATATGAAGACCCTGAATCGACCAACGAAAGCAGTGGAACGGTGACCGGGACTGAAGTGTCACAGTCAACACAGGCACTGTCGCAGAACTGTGGACTCGCGGGAAACACTCAGAACAGTGCTTCGTTGTCTGCTGAAGAATTTTCCGACAACGACGAAGAGAATGATCCCATCATTCATTCTTTTGGACCCTTTGGTGCAAACCTACTGCCACGTATGGCATCAGTCTCCGCTGGAGATTCGCACCACTCAAGTGATTCTGCAACGAGTACACGATCTTCCCACACAGAACCCCTTCCTCCCAGCGAAGCTTTGAGCTCATCGAAAAAGAAAGATCCGGAATTTGACGCGCAAGGCCACATTATTAATCAGCTCGCGTTTTCGAGATTGTCCTCGACCCCGTTGTCCACCATTTTAAGCCACCTTCCCCGCGAGGCTGGTGTTTTGTCCCTCCATGAAATCAGAAAGCTCATCCGTGAAACAGCGTGTATTGGCGAGGTTGCAAGAGAAGGCAAAGACGCCGCGGGTAAACCGCTGGAAAGCGAATTTTATTACATCCCAGATGAAGATGAAGATGAGAAGAGAAAGGAAGCTGTGGTCAATGATTTGCGAAAGCCGGGCTTACGAGCTTGTCGCAAACAGCACAAGGTAATCTCTCCCAATCCACGACCTACCGGCAGAACAGGACTGACGTGCTATAGCAATATTTCTGGCGGAAGCCCAAATAGTCGATGCCTCTAGACATTGTTCATGCAAAGTCGTCAGACGATGATGAAGGCCCGGAATGGCTTTGTGAGCGCGCTGCCGGTCTACCGAGTATGATTTCTTTCTTATTGTGTCGTTTTTGGTTGCATGTCTGTGCAACCGTGTCTCTGTACACGACAGGCTGTCGTCCCTTGTCTAGCGTTCAGCGTCATGCATAGCGAAAGGAGATCAGACATCATCAGCGTCTTTCATCTCTGATCGGAAAACTGGGTTTTGTTGTCAATCATACCACTGTGCAGGACAAAGCCATAATCAGCTCTGATGGATGAAACTAAATGAGCACGTAGGAGGGCAAATAGGGTCGTGCCGATGCAATGCAGAATGTATCTTAAAAACATGTTTCCTTTTCGATCTTGTTGCTGTGCCTGCCTGCGCTTAGACTCGGCTTCGGAGAAAGTCTCCCGACATCGGAATGCCAAATGCTTCCATTCGGGAGAAACTCGCGTAAACCCTAGAGATCCCGAGGTCGAAGCTTTGAGCGGCGCAGGTCATTCGAAGACGTCAATCCCTGAATTGAAGACTGCGTCGAAGAATTCCATCAACACCACATTACTTGGTCTTCCAGCGTCAACTCAAGCTCTCCTTGATTCTGCTCCTCCAGCCGGAGAGACGCACTCTATAGACATGCTATCGACAGCTGGACAATCCGCCTTGCGGGCAGTCCGCGCCCGCTCCCCTTCCCACACCCTTCTAAACCAGTTCCAATCGTCATCCCTCGCACGACTACTCTCCACACTTGCCATTCTCGAGCAACGCGACGGCAAACTCAACAGCGGCTCATTAGGAGCAATCACAGCTGGGGCAAAGCTCGGAGGTTCTGTACATGGCTTTGTGGCCGGAAAATCAGCCAAGGCCGTAGCACAAGAAGCGTCCAAAATCAAAGGCCTGGAGAAGGTCATCGCGGTGGAGAATGAGGCATATGACAGAGGGCTGCCCGAGAACTGGGCACCACTGCTGGTGGAGAATATCAAGAAGGGCGGTTATACGCATGTGATCGCAGCGCATTCCGCGTTTGGTAAGAGTCTGCTCCCTCGGGTGGCGGCGTTGTTGGACGTGCAGCAGATTTCGGACGTGATGGGAATTGAGGGAGAAGACAGTGAGTTTTACAACACCGAAAGGAAGGCACATTATGCTGATACGGCACAGCGTTTGTCCGACCTATTTACGCGGGCAACGCGATCCTCACCGTCCAGAGCAGCGACCCTACCAAACTACTAACAGTGCGCCAAACATCTTTTGCTCCTGCCGAAACCGAAGGCGGCTCCGCCAGCGTCGAAGAGGGCGCAGACACCAAGGTTGAATCGTCCACGGAATGGATTTCTGAAAACCTTACAAAATCGGATCGTCCTGAACTCGCTTCGGCCGAAAAGGTTGTCTCAGGTGGCCGGGGTTTGAAATCCAAAGAAGAATTTGACCGATTGATGCCTCCTCTGGCAGATGCGTTGGGCGCGGCCATCGGGGCTTCGAGAGCTGCGGTGGACAGTGGGTTTGCAGACAACAGTTTGCAGGTGGGCCAAACCGGCAAGAATGTCGCACCTCAACTCTATTTGGCCGTGGGAATCTCGGGCGCCATCCAACATCTTGCGGGCATGAAGGATAGCAAAGTCATTGCATGTATCAACAAGGACCCGGATGCGCCTATCTTTCAAGTGGCGGACGTGGGATTGGTCGGGGATCTGTTCGAGAGAGTCCCTGAGTTGACGGAGAAACTAAAGTCCCAATGATAGACAAGTGTTGGTATATTCGAGGCGAGGAGTCCATGACGGAATCCTTCCTACTGCTATTGGTTTGGAGGCTAGCGTACATATGTGGCGGTGGGATATACTGTGCAGGTACCACAGTACAAGTACAAGTAAAAAGCAGTCCAGCTGGGTGCCAGCATATTATTGCCCTCTTGGCTTTCCCCTGGTTTACAATATGCATAAAATCTCTCACACACCAAAATCCCTGGAGCCAAGATTTAAGGCTCGAGACAATCTAACGACATTGAGAGACAATCAGACGAGCGGCAGTGCACAACACCTGAAAGGCCAAAAAAGTTTTATGCATCTGAGCTTCTGGTGTCATTAGAAGCACGAAGTTATCAGGTGACATTGAGTGACTTTTGGTGGGTGGTATTAAATCGAGTGGTCTGACAGCTTTAGTAATGCAGGTATTACCAGACACACCGGAAACACGCACGCGGGCCATGCACCCCAAGGTTAGAATTCGGGGAAAACCACCAACTCCGTCCTTGTCACAAGTCCTGTGCAGCGATATTTTTTTCGCGGTTTTGTTTTCGCTCTCGGTGGAGCCGAATTGGATTGTTCTAGGTAATACCCTACATAGCGACCTGACACACGGTTTCATAGAGACGGGGAGATATTCATCCCTAGAACACAAAGAGTGAGGAAAAGGGGAGTACGGCGACCGGAGCAGCCCGCAATCACTCCCGACCTTGTTGGGGTGGCTTGCACTTAGTTGACATGAGAAACTCGGTAGAGCGCATGACTCGTGCGTCACTCGTACCCCGGACTAGCTTTGCAGCCAATGGGAAGTGATAGACAAAGCTTTGAAGCCAGATCTCATTATGTAATCACCATTAGTGTCAGGCCAGCACCCACCAGCACCCAGCCAGGACTCCAGGGAGCCGAGGACCCTACGAGGCTGCGTTGGACCCTTTCGTTGTTGGAGTGCTTGCAAAATCAGCTCACCTCGTGCATGTGATCAAGCTGCTCGTCAACTCACCCTCCGGGCGGAAGGGCGAATGCGCGGTAGCGATGTATCACCTACTTTTATTCTATGTCCAGAATTGATTGATTCTTGCTGCCTGGAACCCCGCGCCACCCTTGTGTCGGTACTGGTACCGACATAATCTTGATCACAAAACTCAGCATAACGCCAGTTGCCGAAGGACAACAAGCCGCGAGGTCAATGACAAGGTCATCCAGACCTCAGTGCTGAATGCGTGACACTCTCTACTTGTACATCTGGGCTATTGTGTTGTACCTGCACTCAAGATCTGCAGAGACTTCGAGATTCGAGATTCCCGAGCGTGCATGTCCCCAGCCAGCCAGATACCAAGAGAGCCCAACATGCGGGCGAGTATCGGAGGTCAACCCTTTTTTTGGCACGCGAAAAACACTAAAGTTACCCGTTGCAGGGGGACAGGAAATTCGGAGACTTCGCTTATTTAGAGGGACACCAAGAATGAAAAAGAGGCAGAAAAAATTGGGTGGTCTTGTTGCATTTTTCGTCCTTGGGAGAAGGGAGAAGAAGCCCATCAATCAGATGCCAGCGCGGAATACGTCCGGTCACCGTTGGAATGCACGTTAGGTGGAATGGGACGGAGCCTGGCGTACGAGAAAGAATTTTCCTCTCCCCGTTCAGGTATGGCACTTCAGATTGAACAATCCCATTCCGTTCATCCGCCCATGATTCAGATCCTCCAGCCTGGTCATCCTGGTCGTTCTGGTCGAATTGTTCAACTCGTGGGAGGGACCCACACCGGACTTGTAGGACCGGGTTAAGTTCAGGGTCCCCAGCGAGTCTTTACACGGCATTACGAGGGTCGCTTTTAGGTTTTCGGCTCCTCCCCACCACCGTTTTCCTCGGTCGGGAACAGGCTGGCAAACTCGTTGGAGTAAGTAACCAAAGGGCAAAGGGCCACGGTGTCGACATTCATACTGTTGGAGGTGCAGGTTCAGAAGAGGACAGACTATCCTGGGGAATTCCCAGTTGATGGCAAAACCAACATTGGTCAGAACCCGATAATTGGAAGGAAACGTTGGGCCGCGGGACTAGTTTGGTGGGACGAGATCCACGAACCTACTTGTACAAGTACGAGGCGATGCAGCCGCATCCTGAACTAGGTGTACTTGTATACCAAGTAATTGTATTGTGCTGCTGTCCAACACATATCGACAGACTGCGCATCGCAAGTCACAATCCCCGCGGCCCCGAGAAAAATTGCACTTCGTTGGGCAATCCCGCATTTCTAACACAGTTTGAAGCTTCAGGAAGCATCTCGGCTCCGTATTGAGTGATATTTTGGTTGTGTCTTTCGTCCACGCGCTCCCTCCCTAAGCTCCCTCCGGTCCTTCTCGCTTCCGATCAAAGGGTCTAGGCTCTCTGTGATGACGAACACAAGTGATCTGAAGAGGCGCAGTGTCGAGGAACAATTCCCGTCGTGGTTCTAGGTGGTGGTATCGCAAACCGCAAGGTTGTCGGTGCCAAGGAATCGGCATGTGTCGCTTCGCACAACGCCTGCAATGTGGGATGCCCCCAGGCTCAGCACAGCGCTGCAGATACTGCACTTCCAGAGCCGTGCAGGACGGGATACAGTCTTGTGACCATTCTAGGAGGTTCGATAGAATAATGACTCGCAATATGTCTGGGACAAAACAAGGTACTGTACTTGGGTCGAGGGGGCTGAGGGGAGTAAACCGGAACGTGATGTTGTGCCATTTTATTCTAGAGAGGCGGCATGTCCCGTACCCACAGCACGAGATTCTGTAGCCGGGCCATTGCCCCATGCAGCCTAGTCACTTGCCACCATCCATACCAATGGTGTCCATTTCATACAAGTAAGAGGCGCAAGGCTTGCCTGGGAGGGCAGAGAGAGAATAAAAAAAGGGAGCGAAATGTTTAAGAGTCGGACATCCCACACAAAGTCCTATCGAGGCCATGACGGAGCATGGATCGTTTTCAGGACATCACACGCAAACCAGATCTATCGAGAGAGGACATTGACGAAGTCCTTCGACAGCGCCGTGACAACAGGACCCCCCGGGCCTGCTATCCCTGCCACCAACGCAAAGTCAAGTGCAACTACGTGAAGCCTTGTCAAACCTGCATTGATCGAGGCTATCCCGAGATTTGCATCTACGACGCCCCGCGGTCAAAGTCGTTTGCCGAGACCGCATCGTCTTCGGGCGCCGCCAGCACCACCCCCGCAGCTTCAGACGAGCCTGTGCTGGCACAGAAAGTCACCTTGTTCGAGCAGACACTATGGAAAGTCAAAGACGAAATCGACAGGGTCTTGGGCGTATGGGGCCCGAGACCAGAGTCGTCGATGGTCGGCCAGCAATCGCGCCAGAGTCCCAGCAGAGAAGGGACATGGTCGACACCTCAGGTACCAGGGCCGAGCACGCGGGGTACTGGCCAGCCTGTGCACTTGGGACCGCATCCAGTGCTGCGGCCGACTGCGGTGTCGACCAGTGCTGACCCTGCGCGGTGGGCACAAGATCCCTCAAACCAAGAGATTCTATCCATCTTCGCCTTGGAGAATCAATCCATCACCTATCCTTTCTCTGCGTTGTGGGGGCTACACAACGAGCCCGCATCGAGGTTTCAAAGCCTGTGCGAGTTGCTTCCCAGCGACGTCGAGTGCCGCAGCCTCTTCGCCTGCTACACCGAGACTGCTCACGCCGTTTTCCCAGCCATTCCTGACCTCGACCAATTTCAGAACGACCTCAGCGAATTCCTTGCACGGCGGTCAACCGCCCAAAAAGCACCCCTCTCAGAGGCGGACCCGGAGCCACATTCGGGGATTGGCGGTAGAGACCTCCATTGGCTTGGGCTGCTTTTTGCATGTTTGGCCTCTGGCTGCCAGTACTCGACTCTTCCGTGTGAGGAACGTCGGTGGAAATCGCGAGTATACGGTGCTTGACTCCTGAGTCCCCTTTCCGCGCCTTGACTCGCTCCTGTTACTGACTGAATTTCTAGTCTGCTGCGCCTACGAGTGCTTGCGATCCACCAATTACCTCGGATACCCCACCCTATTTGACGTTCAAAACATGCTGGTCATTGCCGATGTCATGGCCAACAGCCTCGATGCCGGTGTGGCGTGGTGCTTTGAAGGTGAGATGTACACTTTTTGAGGAGAAAAATACTGACAGGCGCAAAAGGGCTGACGATCCGGCTGGCACAAAGCCTTGGACTGCACCTTGAGGTGCCTCCATCCACGGCAGAAAGCCTGCAGTGGCTCCGAAAGGAGCTCTGGTGCGTAAAAACACAACATCTTGCGTCGAATCTACGTTAACTTGGGAGCCAGGTGGCGCATCGTATGGCAAGAAAGCTCACTTGCCTTGGCTTTCGACAGACCTTCGACCCTCCCGATCCAAAGAACGCCCCTCAACACCGGATCCAGCGAGTTATCCTACATTGACTGCATGAAAAAAATCTGCCAAATTGGCATTGAAATTGTCCGCGAGCGTTCGAACAGAGCAGCCGGGCAGTTCAGTTCTGAAGATATATCTCGACACCAGGATATCCTCAACGAAATGGCACAGGAGGCTGCACCGTACCTCAAGGATGTGACGCTTTGCCACACGACCAAAGCTCGGCTCGAATACTGGAGCTTGTACCTACACCGGTCCTACGTCAATGCTGAGCTCTACAGGACCCTTCTAAGCGACCGCAGCCCCAGCCCCGACGATATGGATGCCTACGTGCGATGCCTGAGTGGCACAGTTACCGGCTTCCTTCACCTGCAGGTCACCGCTCCCGCAGTCAAGCAATCCTCAATATTCGTGCAGAGAGCGCTGAGCTCTGCTCTGATGTTGTGCACCATGGACGACCTTACGAGGACGAGGCCAGCCCAGTATCTGGTCCACAATTTTATCACGGTCATGGAGAGCCCGTGCACACACTGCGCCGAGGCACACCTGCCTACACCTTTCTCCAAATCCATTGCGAAACTACAGGACATGGCGGCGATGCGGTGGCCTTCGAATCCTCCGAGCTTTTCGAGTGGTCGGACGCCGCCAGGGACGACCACGAGTCACGAATTGATGAACTGAAAAGAACGACACGGACTGTCGGTAATAAACAGATTACGATTATCTAGCTTTGTCATATTGACCATTTTTGGTTGACAGCCCAACAGGCCTGATTTGCTCGAGGTCTTTTGCATCCCCCAGGACGTGGAAGGGTCACACCACCCGGGGAAATTCTACGGGGTACTGAACTTAAAGGAAAGGCATGCCCAGGAATGACGGCGGCTCACAAAGGCCACAGAACCGGAAAAGGTTTGCGAACACCGCTGGCCCGGAAAAGACATGCGGTTGCACTCTTTGAGAGTACTTGTGCGACAGCGAAGCGACTGGAATTTATAGAGGGGTTCTGTGGCACACGGTCCCAGAGTTTGCTATACTATATAATATCATCTCCCTCTACTGACTCACCTCACTTCCGTTCCATAACATCAATCTTCTTTCCTCAATTTTCCTTCCCCCTTTACGGACACAGTGGCTGGAATTGGCTGGTTTGAATTTGGCCTGGATCACAACAGACACTGCGCGGTACTAGCTGAACACTTCTCTATCAGTCACTAACACGAGCCACTGTTATGTCTTTACTGCGGTAACGTCCGGCCATGACGATCGTCGAGGTACAGAGATCCTGCCACTCAAAAGGGGCCGCTCCCGAACATACCCAGACTGTTATGAAGGCTGCCTTTGTGGGCTGATGCCATTACCTCGCTCGCCCCATGCACAAGGGGTTTTGCGCTTCTCTACCGAGCACACTCCGTGAGACATGCGATCGCATTTCCCTCGACACCGGCATCAAGGTCCTCGAGTTTTTGATGATGGAGATTAATTCTGGGTCGTCTGGGTCGTCCCATTGCGACTTCTGGGAAAGAATCTCATTGGCCCCGTCAAACAGGGCTACAGCCTCACAGACCCTGGACCGCCGAAGCCGCCGAAGCCACCGAGCAAATCCGAGCTGGCCGCTGCTGGCCTAGCTCGACTAGGAAATGTTTCCAAGCCAGTCAGTGGAGCTAATGCATCACTGGTGGAATCAGTGGAATCGGCCAGCCATGCCGAACCCGAACCCAGGGCCACCAGGGCGACCTGGGCCACTACTCGCAACTACTTGGACGACGAATCCTCCACTATTAGCCATGCACATGTGCACGCCCTCTTCCCCCAGTTTGATCGTCCGATCGTTCGATCTTCCCTTGGGCCAGCCGCCTGGAAATTTGCCATGGAATCGGCACTCACCACCCAGAAGGCGACAATGGACTACCTAGGGGGTGGATTGTCGTCGGTAGAGTTTCTTGTGCGAAGCTCGGCTCTTGCGTCTGGCCAGCCCTGACCTTCTGGAAACGGAGGGGGGGCGTTTCCTTATTACCTTCTTATTAGGTACTTGAACTGTGCAACGGAACCACCCCTCGCCGGCCAAGCTTGCAAACTGACGCAAGCGGAGCTGTTGTGAAGATCTCAGGGAAATGTATTATATCAACTCTGTGTGATAACGGAGCTTCTCTCTTTCTGAGCCTTTTCCCTTCCTATCTTAACCCCCCTGAGGGACAAAAAACAATATACTCATTCGGATCATCGAGTCTGTTTACCCAAGAACTTGTCCCCGAGGACGTCGTGTCTTAGGGGGGAAAAACATCATTCGCGGTTTTTACCTGTATGGACTATATGCCAATGTCTGCCCACTCTCTTGTGGACTTTGGCGTCAGCAATGGGGTGGGTGTATCATTGAACCCTTCGGGGTATCCCCTTTGATAGCGCTGTCTGAATATTGACCATTGGAATTTTCTTGTCGCAGCCTTTAAATGACATTGACTTTTCGATCTTTCAGCCGTTCATACGGAACGAGTATCTTAAAGAGCAACCGGGCTTCGTACCGTCAGATCAGCAACAACAACAACAGCAGCACCTACACAATGTCATATTCCCCGGTCAACCACTCGGTACCGGCGCCGGTCCTCCCGCGCAGTTCCCTCTGTCGCCGCCCATATCGTTTGTCGACTACGAGACGCTCCAATCCACGACCCCGGACGACTGCTACCACTCGAGCACGGGTAATTTCGAGCCTCAGGTTTCGGAGGAGGACGACTCACCCCAAAGCCGCCAGGAGCAGCTAGAGGGTTCGAAGGTCAACGCGGTCGTCGCCGCACCACCACCCGTCAACTGGTCGAATGTCGTTCCTTGGGTCTCGACCAAGCCGCCCTCGTCGCGCGGACGCCCACGGGGTGGGAAACGAAGAGCCGCCGCGGCGCGAAATGGAGAGGCTATAGCGGTCCCAACGACGGGGAAACCACCGGGCGCCAAACGAGGGAGGAAACCCCGAGCGGCGAGACAGCAAGCGACCAGGGCTCCGACGGAGGAGGACGACAAGGCCGCGCTCAAGGAAGCCAAGGCGGCGCACTCGGTTGTGGAGCGGCGGTACCGCGACAACCTCAACGGGAAGATGAGCCAGCTGTACTACGTGCTGCGGGAGGTGAACTCGCCGGGCCCGCACTCGCGGTTGTCGAGCACAAGCGGCGGTAGCGGCACCAGCGAAATCACGACACCCCTCCCTGCGTTCCAACGGCCGAGTCGAGTCCGCAAATCCGAGATCCTCAACAGCGCCATCGACTACATCCACCAGTCCGAGGTGGAGATGCGGCACATGGCCGACGAGATCAAGCACCTGCAGGACAAGGAGCGGACGATCCGGAACCTGGTCAAGTGCGAGGAGTGGTCTGTGCTGAGGGCACTTTTAAGTGCATGATTTTTGCTTGGGGTTGGGTCGGAGGTGACTGGGTCAATGAATGCATTTACGCGTGTGCATGGATTATCTGCACATACGTTTTTGCTCGTGCGAGTGTAAGGGGAACGAGGTGAAGCGAGGTTAACGGGCACGAACGATTGGTAGGGGAGAGAGGTGGTCTATCAACACCACTGGGGGATATTCTGGCGACCAGGAGAAATCCTGCACTCGCACAGAGACTATGCAGTGTCGAGCCAGTGTCAAAGACCTGGGTCGAGAGGAAGAAGCCAACAATCGATCAACAATAAACAACAAACTATCTTCAACAAACGCGAGAAGCAAGAAATATGTCGTGAGAAGTAGTCATCTCAGCCTCGAGAGCTGATTGGGAGGGACATGGGAAACGGGTCGTCGACAGATGAAATTACCGGGCGTAGTCACCTGTCTGTCCCGACTACAGCCAGCCCTAGGGAGGAGTTCGTGCGGTTATTTTTGGGACGAGGATTGGGGATTTTCATGTATAAAGAGGAACTTGTCGTTTGGTCATGATGCTTTTTATTAACGGGTGACAAGTCGACGGCTCCACCGTAGGGGAACAGAAGGGAGGTCAAGGTCAATATAGAATATTTATCAGTTTATCATCTTGGTTGTCTGTTTGTTTTCTCTTCTTTGGTGATCTCATGTCACGTCGCAGGTCCAGTAGGTCCAGCATGTCCCAGTAATCTCGGTGTACAGTTAGTTCTACACTCTGCACTCGACAGAAGCGAACCAGCATGAAGAGAAGTAATTATCCCGTAGAGGGGAGAAGATGTGGAAAAGGACCCGTGACTCGTATCCCGTATCCAATATGGCCAATCGCTTGCTGCGTGACCACGGATCACGTATCACGTATTGCGCACCTATCGCTCATCTCTTCTGAGTAAAAAGTCAGTGTAGTGGATGATGGAGCGAGTACCCGTTATCTACCCCCCAAAGGACCAAGTGTTGTATCTACCTATCTATCTATCAACCAACCTCTGGTACATTCCCATCGATTACATTGCATTTATATGACAACAGCACTGGTGACACTGGGCAATTCTTATTAGACGTCGGCACACATTGCGATCGGCCGATCTAGGGAGCCATTTGTTACCCTTTTTTTTCGCTTCTTAAAACCACTTGTACTTGACTACGTGATTATCTAGGGCACTAAGGAGTCGGTGGGCACGAGGGAGGGCTGGGAGGGTAGGCGACACCGACGATCTCACCGAACCCAAGACCCGCACCAGCAGGGTACCGGTGGGAGGATCGGCGAGGGACTCAACCGCTCTCTGATCATCAGGAGTAAAAACGGCAAGGGAGGATTTGGGGGAGAAGAAACGAGCGAGCGAGTGAGGTATTGATGTCGATGTCGAAAATGACGAGTCCTTTGGTAGCGCCGTAGGTGTTTGGATACATTAGGTGCTGTACATACTTGTAGGTAGTTATTTGATAGGTACTAGGTAAGAGGTAAGTATAGCTGTATGGATACCAGCACAAGTAATACATAGCCGTGGTAGGTTACCCTTTTTTGGATCGTGGACAATGCACAAATGCCCACTGCCAAATGCATAAAGACTATCCAAAATACCTGATGTTAGTGCCAGGTGGGTATGCATTGCATCATCGCCTAGTATATGCACAATTGCCTACCAGTGCCTACCCTGCCTACTTAGCTTGCTAGGTACCGATCATTAGTGTCTCTCGTCCATTAACCGCTTCAGGAAGGATCTGGTCCGCAACTCAATGGCTCGGACTAACTCAGACTTGTACCTCGCACAAGTAGTCGATAACTGATAGAGGATGGGTACAAGTACAAGTAAACCAGCCCGGGTAGTTCACCCGCGAACACTCACTAACGCAGTCTCCCAGTAGGTAACCCGATGGCCTTGTCATCTACAAGCATCTACTCCGTAGAACTAACTCGCTCTCGCTACTTACTTACGTAGCACAACGGAGCTTTTAACGGAGTAAGGAAAAAAGGGTAACAAAAGAATATGGTCAAAAAAAATCGTGGTCATGACGCCAATTTCATTTGGACTATCTCCTTCAAAGCATCGCAGTCGCCTTCGCACCGCACCATGCGCTGCAGGACCGCCAGTTGATTCTGTAACCGCACAATCTCATCCGACATGTGCCTCATCTCTAGCTCCGACTCGTTGATGTACTGCAGGGCATTGCTCAAAATGTCCGATTTCCGCGGTTGCGGTGGTTCCCGTTGCTGTGACTGTGACTGCGACTGTGACTCCCGCCACTGTGGTGATGATTCGCTGTCGTCACTGTTGTTGGCGCTGCTGGCGCTGCTGGACATGCGGCTCGTCCCCTCCAGCGTGCGGTGCAGCTGCCACATCTTTGCGTTGAGGTTGTTCCGGTATTTGCGCTCAATGGCCGAGTGCGTCTGCTTGGCCAGCGTCCGCTCGAGATCATCGCTGTCACTCGAAGTGGTCCTCTTGAGCTTGGAGACTCGCTGCGAGTGCGGCTGTCTTCTTGATGCCGTGTTTGTGCGCTTCTCCCGGCTCCCTGCCCGCCGGGCCGTCGAATTCTGTGATGCCGCAGTCGTCACAGCGCAATCTTCAACTTCGGAAGAAGCCGAGGACTCAGAAAGAGCCAGCTCGAAATCGGAGAGCTGGTAATCTCTGGTAGAATCGCTCTTTACCACCTCATCCTCGCCAGCATACACTGGGAGGTTGTTGGGGCTGTGGGACCGCATTGGGTCTGACACATACGGGAGAAATGATGTGTTTGCAGTGGTGAATGACTGGGTTGGAGTCTTCTGATACATGAGGCTTGCATCGACAGTATTCCAGGGATATTGAGATTGGTTATAGTATTGCCGTGACTGGCCAAAGTTTGTAGTATTGGACTGGTCGTACGAGGCTAGAGGGTTTGACGCGCACCCAAAGAGACCGTCCATGTCGGCGTTGGTTAGGGTAAAGTTGTACCAGTCGTCCATGTCCATCGTGGAGTCTTGTTGAGGGATGATGGTATCCATTGCTAAGGACTTGTAAGATTGAGAAGGGCTGGTAATAGCGGTAATGATTCAAAGTGTAGAGTTGGATCGATGTTGGTGTTGGTGTTGGAGCTGGAGATCCATTGTGGCAAGGAGGGCACGGACAGCGTCATATATAATTGAGGCTTTGTAGCCATCTTGGGACGATCTCGAGCGAGCGTGCCTTCGTGCTTGACTTCGGAGATGATGCAAACAGATTCGGTTGAGAGGATTGAAACTCGGAGATGACGAAAATCAGAAATCTACTGCCACCAAAGTGTAGACACGTGTAGATCGTGTAGGTCAGAGTGAGACCAGTCGAGACCTCGCGGATCACGGAGGACAAGCGGAGCGCAGCGCTGCAATACCAGAGAGTCGGCAGTATTGAACAGAGAGATGCGCACTCAATGCAACGACGGAGTATCTACGGGTACAAGAATGCCCCTGATTATTAGGCTTATCGTCTACCTACGAGTAGCGAGCGAGATCTCGGGGCACGTTCTTGGGCGTTTATGTCCTAGGGGGGCCTAGTACAAAGTTCACGGGCACTTTGGGTATCTTGGGTCTCTTCCCAAGGGACACGGGGTTCTCCCTAGCTTATAAGGATCCCTAAGATAGGTACGCAGCCAGGCCCAGACTCGCTCCGACCATTGTGCGCCGCATGTCCGAGCAACACCTGAGCACCTGAGCCAAGCCTTATGGCCGTGCCTGGCCATCTCCACTCTCAAGTACTTGTTCGCTACGCATCGCTGTTCCACAACCAATCCGAGTCCACGATAACCTGCTCCTCTCTCGCCCGGGCCTCGTCGGTCATCAACACACCACCTCTCCGAAATACATCCGAGCCTGTCCGAGTTAATCACCTCCGAGTTGAGTCCCTGAACAACGTGTTATGCTTCAAAAAGGGGCTTGTTCCCAGCGAACCTGGTATTACTACAAAGCTACGAGAAAAATCAAAAGGGAAAAGAGAGCGGACAAGGAGACACGGAAAACTCAACTTCTATCCCAAACGCAGCCGAAATGCCACGCATTTTACACGCCACAAGGCTACACACTCAGATCTCCCCAAAATACTTCCGGATACCGAAACAAAAGGTCAGAGGAACGCAATCCTCAAACCGGAGATATACCCTGCGATCCCCATAGGATCTTCTCCATCAACTCATACGGCGAGTCCTCAGACCGCCCGCCGTCGTCCCCAGATGCTTCATTCGAGGGATGCCCATAATACATCAGAGTGTCCGAGCTTGTGCTTCGCTCCCACGCTGGTATGGTATCGCCGCTCGCACTGTACTCGGTCCCAACCTCGGAGCCGTGGTGGGCATTGAGACGAGCCAGCGCCCGCACAGCTCGGGCAATGGGAGCAGAGTGCTCATTGGGATCCAGCGACGAGTTGATGCTCGACATGACCACAATCAGCTTGTCAAGCAATGTCCGCACCCGGGGCTTACTATGAGGCTGTTTCAGAATCCCAAGCAGCAGCGCCGAGCTCAGAGACCGATGCACCGCTGCCCATGATTGTGTGGCAAACCGAGTCACGTTGGACAATCCCAGAAATGCATCCACCGTGTTGGCCATATTCTCCAAGCATGTGGCCCGGAAGTTGCCTAGTTCCGACGAGGTCTGCCTGCGTTTCAACGCGGACCGATACAGCTCCGATAAGATATATGACCGATGAAGATAGAGGTTCCAATGCTCTAGTTGGTCCCTCATTGACTGGCACGCCGTCGCGTCTTTAAGGTGGTGAAGCGCATGGTCCATCATTCTCGACAAATCCTCCTGATGACGGTTGATCCGTATCAGTTCTTGCCGGGGGTCCGTGTGTTTACTCCTCTCCCGCACAATTTCGAGCCCTGTCTCGCACAAGATCTTCATACAGTCGGTATATGATAACCACGTGTTGTCGACGGGCTGTACGGATTTGTGATGCGAGATGGTAGGAGTCGATGACGCTCGGTCGAATGTAATCGAGATGAGACTGTCCTGCCAAACGATCCGCCACCTATGAGTGTTGTCAGTGAGAACGCTCAGTGAGAACGCTCGGATGGCGCCAATTGAAAAGTCGCAGTGACTTACCAAAGCTCCTCCCGGACCGACCTCTCAGCCTCGCTGCTAGTCCGGTAGGTCTTTTGATGGAGACCAAGGCTCTGTCCGATCCGGATAGTCAGCCCTTTCGGGGCGGTCAGCAGAATAATCTCCACTCGAATATCAGCGCTTACCGAGCAAGCACCAGGCGATGCCAGAATTCATGTTATTGGAAATGACGTTCCCCAGCACCAGCAACGTCTGGATATCCAGCAACTTGGAGTTGGACAAGTAATTGATTATGCGGAGACATTCATATGCACAGCACACTACACCACGGTAAGCTCTTGGTTTCACCGCCAACGGACTGCTTCTCACCATAGACCTGACTGGTCAGTTGGCGTTCTTTATGCGGCAATGACGAACACTGGTAACCGGAAGCGAGAATGGCGAACAGTAACCCCACCCAGTGGAGGGTTTTCCCGTATATGTTGTCATTCGAAAGAGCCTCGTAAGGAGCATCCCTGCTCGCGGCAGCCTTGTTGATGAGGAAGTGGGTGAGTTCGCCCTCAAACTGTTTAATGTCCACTACTCCAGGGAAAAGAACATGAGCCGTGTCGCGGTATTGTGCAAAGTATTGCAGGCAATCGGCGTCGGTTGGCAACAGCCTGCACATTGCCTGCAGTCTGGCATAAGATCCGTGGGGTAAACCCCATAGGTCCACGAAAGGGTAGGTGGCACTCTCGTTATCTAGACCAAACAGAGGTAGGATGCTTTTGCCGAGTACATCCTGGGCATCATACTCGTTGGGGTCACTCTTGAGCGAAAATACCATGGCCGGGACCGAATTGCCGCCCAGGTGGACGGTCTCACCCGTGACTTCATTGCTGGTGTGGATGGCAAAGTTGTCCTGGTCGACACCTTCACTGCTCGAGTCTCCTCCCGTTCTCTCGACCTTGGGCCTGCCCACCAGCGTCGAGGGAGACCCATCCCTTCCCGGCAGATCTTTCAGCTCGGTACGCAGCTCTTGAATGGCCTGTTCGATCGTCTGCAATCTCTCACTGATCCTGTTCCACCCCATGGGCTGTCCTTCGATCGGAGTGCTGGGTGGGATTTCCTGGCCGGCAATTGTTATCGTCGTGGTGGTGTTCGCATCGATATTCGCGCGCTTGGACAAGGGCTCATAGAGGCAGAGCTCAGGGTGGTTACGGTCGATGCATTTTTGACAGGGGTGTTGATAGTTGCAACCCACTTTCCTCTGGCGACAGGGATGGCAGGCCTTTTGCCCGCGGGCCTTGCGCTTGCGACGTAGACGTTCATTGATCTCTTCCTGAGTCAACGCTTCCACCTTTGGTTGTGCCTCGTCCCCTGGGGTGGTTATCTGGTAGTGGCCCCGGCTCGAATCCATTGCAAACGAGCACTTTCGGAGGACGTGCGCGGTGGGCGCTATCCGAAAACTACCGCAAGAAGAAGCTGGGCGGAGGGGAGGGGGGGCCACTACCCAGCTCTTCGTGGGTGGCCCTCGCGAACTTGGGGCTTGGGGACCTCTGGAGAAGGAGGGAGAGGAGCAAGATTAAGAGTGATTGTTTGGCATATGGTCCTGCCCCAAAAAAGGCCGAGGTGAGCGACGGAGCGACAAAACTGGACAAGAGATTGGGAGAAAAATCGGGGATCGGCTGATATTGAAGGAAGAGAGAGCCGCAATAGGCTCCGTGGGCCGTGGCTTCCTTGTGTGAGTGTGTTGTGCTTGGCTGGCAGTTGGGAGGAGGGAAATGCGATCCCGCACCTGTGCCCTGTACTGAGTAAGTAACAGGATCGGGAAGGTGAGGCGGGCACAAGTTTAGCCCAAGTACATGGACTCAGTTTTTTTTTTTCGGCGGGTTCGGCGGCCTCGGGGACCAGATCGTAGGCTGTACATACGGAGTAGTAGTGGGCTGTTCTAAGGCTGTCCCTCGTGGGTTTGGCCCCATGTCGAAATCTACTTTCCTTACTCGTAACTGCCCAAAGTCGCTAAAACCGGAGCCATGGAATCTCTGTCTGGGCCCCCCCCCCCTCTTCCCTAAACTACAAACAAAGTACCTACCGAGCGAGCGAGTCGTCATTCCAAGGGAACTATTTAAGCATGCGTGTGGTCCCCCTTGGGTCCCCCCCTGTCTCCCTTTACGCCCCGCATCGCGAAAACGGGGGACCCAGCACGCCAGAAAAGGCGTTCGTCGTCGTCGTCGTGTCGGAGCTCATTTCCTTTTTGTCCAAAAACCCGCCCGCCGGTCGAGAAAGTCCACACCGCGCGTTTGTCAATTTGTGCATTGCATCCCCGTGTTCCGAGTACGAGGGTTACTTGCACAAAAGTAGTGCGGCCGGTACTGGTTGACTGAGTCGATGCCACTACCGTCGCCTTCGCCACTTGCCATTCACTACTGAGGAAACACCCCGTTCTGTGGCGAAAGGGAAAAGGCAAAAGGCAAAAGGCAAAAGGGCGGTTGCGTCACACAAAATGCGAGGAGAGGAGGTGAACTAGGCTGGAAAGCGTCCTGTGACGGACTACGCTAGGCTGTATCACCTCGCTTATATCAATGGTGACTTGGGGAAGTGCAAAGGGATTGCAGTTCGGGCCTAGAAATCACGATCGTGTCTGCAATGCTACTCGGTACTGCTGGTGGATATCAAAAGTGTCGTCAAGATCTGACATGACCCAAGATGATTGGGATTCCATCCGTACGACACGATGACGAGCTGTCCATACCGGTACACCTGGAAGGCTTGTACACTACGGAATACTTGCGCACTATTCTCCTCGACTAGGATATCAGACTGTCGCTGTTGTCGCTGCTATCCCTTCCGACAATGCACTACAAGTAAAAATCGAGTATGACGATTCCGGATGACTTATCGTGATATTGACGCCCTTGAGCGACTAGAATATCAAAATAATAAGCTCTTCGCCAACTTTGCCACCTCAATCAATTGATCATCACGCCCTCCATCTGTGATGCACTCACAGACTTGATGATTGAAAGTCTCCCAGACCCAGAGATATCGCGAATTCGATCTGACCATGCTCGCGAACCCGGCCCTGATGGCCAATGAATCCATTGAGTCTTGATCCGGGATCGATTGCTGGGACCTGGGGGGCTTGGTCACCTCCCAAAAGTGGCCGACTTGGACGCATTCCAAGATCAAGGTCGCCAGTCCGGCAGCGATGGCCGTGGCGACCGAAGAACCCTCATGGACATACCCTAGCTCCTTGTCCGGGTTGCTCCCCCTCAGGGGGATCTTGTGGCCAGGAAAGAGAAAGTCGATCTTGTGTTCGTCGACGTATTGGGCGTTGTTGCCCATGGCCGTGGCGGCGACGATGCGGATGACGTTCTCTTGATCCGCGTGTTTTGGGTAGGTTTCGTCATTGCCTGTCTTGCCCTGGTCGCCTGACGCGCACAACATGATGGTTCTTTGTCGGACGGCCCTGGTTATGGCCTCGTCAAACTCTTTCCGCAGTTCCTTGTCTTCTGGCCGTCTGACGGACCAGGACATGGAGATGACCCTGGCTCCGCAGTCGACGGCGTGGTTGATAGCCTGAAAGAAAAGGTGCCATATTAACGGTTTGTCCACAATGATGATAAGCCACTAGGAAATAATGACCAATACTAACATCAACGGCGCTGGCTACGACGATAGTTAGCCTGTTTGGATCCTGTGTCGCTGGTCTGGTCGCTACCTTGATGATGTAGATATCCGCCGTCGGGCAGATTTTGCGGATGAACCTTGCCATGATGGTTCCATGACCGCTGTCAGAAATCCAATATGGATAGTTTCTTTGCCCTGCGTCGTCGAAGGCGAAACTTCTCCCGAGGTATTCCCTGCCCTGAAGCGAACTGTGTGTAGTGTCGACACCGTCGTCAATCAAGGCAACTCGGATCGACTTGAAGTTGTTCTCTGCGTCTCTCGCTGGGCGTTCTCGGACCTTGAGAAAGGCAGTCGTGAAGTTCTCCATGCACTGCATCCAGCGATGTTGATCCATCTCGGCCGCCGGCCTGTCGTTATCAGCCGGCTTAGATTCAAGAGACGTCTTCGCCGCAAGGTGGATTATTTGGGGGCCAGTGATTTCGCTGTCCGCGGCGACTTCATGTTTCATTGATATGTGAGAGCCTGCTGAACATGGGCGGAATAGTCCAGAATCCAGACGGAGTGATCCGGATGCCAAAGTCGCGCTATCGTCCAGTATTGCACTCGCACTCCTCTCTTGTGACGGTGGCCTTCTTTTCTCTGCCACGAGCGACCAGTTGCGTATCAGACGATCATCCAAGCCTTTCAGTTGCTCCGACATGTTCGAAGACAGGTTAGGACTGTCCTGTTATAGTGATAAGGAACTCAGCAATGAGAAGTTATCGAGGGTCGAGTATAAAGGAAAGACACAATACCTCTGGAGAGAAGATGAAAATCTTTGACAGTTTGCCATACTGAGCTAGCATGGATAGTCCTTCAGCCTCGCTCCAAGCACGTAAGATGGCGTTGTTACCACCCCAATATAGATATAATTCCTTCAAATTCTTGCCGATCTTGAAGATGGTAGAGGGACACAAGTCCGGCCGGCGCCAGTCTAAGACCTCCACGTCGGCTCTGGCGATGGCGCGCCCTATCGCGTCGTAGCTGTGATAGTTTGGTTTCATGTCGTCGACGATGACATGCAGGATTCGTTTCACACCTTTACTTTGTAACCAGCCCAGGATACGTGTGGCATCGTTGCGGCCCTTTAAGACAACTCGGTCGTCATCCTTATCCGGCTTGAACTTGATGTTTGCAATCGATACGTATTTTAACGTCGTCTCAAAGTCAAGTTTATTCCAGTGACTTTCAAACTGGGCAAACGTCATGTCAGTCGATGGGGCGGGCATGTAATCAAACCACAACTCTTGGTCTGGGAGTTCAACTTTTAGTCTTGTATGTCCTAGTCTTGGAGACCTGAGGGTGGGTGGGCATGCTCTCTTACTCTTCTCATTTGGGATATACAAGCAGCGGTACGCAGCATCGCATGACATGTCCCTCAGACTCTCAAGCTTCAATTTGTCCTGGATTAATTTTGCTGTTTCGTCGGTGACGTCCGGACTTCCTAATCTCCTGTTAGAGCCCCAGGATCCTGCTGACAAGTCCAGTTCGGCAGCCTTCGTATCCAGGGGTTTTGAGCCACTATGGCTTGCCGGTTTTGACAGAACATGATACTGGTATGGCGAGTGCCCAGTGAAGTCTTTCTTTTGGAGCACAGAACGGCGGCGGGAAATGAGCTCCCGAACGATCTCGAGACGTCCAGGAGTGCACTTTGAATATTCGACCGCCAGATGAAGGGGCGTATGCCCGTGGATATCTTGAGCAAGCAACATGTCATCTGGTGCTAGGGATATGATAGCCAGGAGTAATTTGTTGGCAGCGAGTAGGCTCCTGCTGTACATGGCGTCATGCAAGAACGTGTTTCGCATCCAGATAGCGGCCCAGGTGGCTTTGCCCTTCTCAATGGTTTGACGGACATTCTTGACGGTCAAAGGCAGACTTGGCTCTCCTGAAACTGCACAAAGAAAGTCATGATTGCCTCTTCGAATGGCTGTGTGTAGAGGCGTATTCGACTCGCCGTCCCGTTCCACCAACAGGTTCATGCCACCCGGGTGCAAGAGCATTCTTGCCACTAGCTTCTGAACAGCCAGCCTCGTTGAAGGCGATCTGTTGTCCTCCTAACTCGAGGCTAGAAAATGCAGAAAATTTTCACCCCGCAACCTGCTGGTGGCCATCACAAGGCTGTCACCGCGCTCTGCGACGAGTTGCTTCGACCGCTGACGCCGGCTGGCGTTCTCGGTTTCTGGCATTTTTTCGATCTCTTTGGCGCGCTCCAAAACAGTCTCAAACAGGACTAGAGCTGGATCGGGACAAGAGCTGGGCGGCGACAGCACATTCGCTATTGACGTAAGTTCTACGCGAGGTTTTGAATGATCCATTGCCAAAGCAATGACTAGAACCCTTGGTTCCACGTTGCGAGAGTAGTAGGTATGTAGGTATCGACGTAGGTGTGTAAATGGCGTGTAGCTCGCCGAGAGTAATGAATGCGTCTGACCGAGTAATGTGTACTCGGTACTGAGTAGTTTAAGTGTCACGCATGGTGTGAGGTGCCACTGCTTTGCTGCCTCCCACCACCTCCCCGAATACGAGGAATCGATGCATTGAGCCGAGGGGAGGTCATGCAGGTGTCTCGATTGTCATTGGCACAATGATGCGTCTCGGTGCCCAAATATCAATGCCCCAGTCCATTGTCATTGTCATTGTAATTGGCACAGGAATGACGTGCGTAAAATGCTGTCGGGCTGTGCCTTGTCAAGTCAACCCACTCCCTTTTCTGCCTCTCAAAATCCTGTCGAGCCGCTATGTTCATCTAATCCATCTTAAATAGCGTTAGCCTCAGTGACCTGCTCGCGCGGCCTTGCCGTCGCCTCAATATCACCTCATCACTCATCATGGCGTTCCACGAGGCTGAGCACAACGTGCGGGGCTTGGCTGCGGATAACGACGAGAATAGTCCCATGTTATTTGAGGCTCCGCTCTTCGTCAGTGGTGATGATGACGATACATTTCATGTCAAGAACCAGTCCCTGACAGAATGGCAGCGGCGCATTGTCATGGAGCGCCTCACAAAGGCCTGTACGATTCAATGCTTCCTCATCAGTGTTCTCCACGGGAAACTGAACAAGACTCCCGAATCGCCGTCGGCTACCCTGATGGTGTTCAAGTTCCGCCTGGATCCTATCAAGCACGGCCGACGGCTTATCCGCGCTCGTATAGATATCGAGTTCTTTGCCGAGGATCGCGAGGATGCTGTCCCTACAGTCTTGGCTGTTGGGTTAGACGACCGCTGGACCATTGGGCCTACCGCAGACCACGAGGATGTTGTAAAGGGAGGAAATGTCAACTTCGGCGTCGCGGGAATCCCCTTTGTGAGCATCGGGGTAGAGGCATCACTCAGCAAAACTGGCGGCCGTGATATTCACGATGCCACCACCATCACTGGAGGGACGCATTTTGGCGAGGGCATCGACGCTGGTGCCCACACGGCCTGCGGATGGACTCTGCTGGAAACCAACAGCGAAAGACAGGCGTCCCTTATTCATTCACCGTGCCCGTTCTCCTTGAACGGCACCACGACAAAAAGTTCAAGGCGTGTGTGCATTTGGCGGCCAAGGGTAACACGCGAACGACTATCGAGTGGATGTTCAACAAGATCCCTGTGGATGATCCGGTGCTCTTCAACCCTACTGTCGATAGACGAGGGAACATGACAGAAGCGAAATATACAAAGGATGAGCTTGGGAAATGGGAGCACAAAATGGAACAACTCACCCATGTCATCTGCCGCACGGTTTATCGGGGCGCCGAGAGGGAGATCTAAACATCGCCATGCCGAGTTACAGTATAAGCTGTACTGGTTCATATCAGAAAGTCGGGAGTATTTGACTTTGTGCATGGGACGATGAACTCGGTAGAGATATCCTTGACTCGGCAATACTAAAACAAGTGGCCTGTGGGAGTAGCATCAGGGACTGGTCTTGTGTACGCAGGGACCAATCAAATCTTTCAGTCAAGTCAGTTCTTGAGTTGAATAGATGAGTAGGAAAGGTTCAAGGGAACTGACTCGTATTCGTACTTGCCACAAACTTTGCAACATACCTAGGTAGCCACGTAGCCCCTGTGCTCCTTCTCTCCTTTCACTCTGCAATAAGGTACCTACCTGCCTTATCTTTCCTCATTCTCATGCTCATGCTCATGCTCGGACTCACTCCCTACTTTGGAGAAGATGGATACCTACCAACCTAATTACGGTAGTAAATGCTCGTAGATCTCCGTCTCGTTGCTGGCTGTCGCATCATGTGTACCCTACCTACTAACGAGTACGACGTACTTGCGTACAGTATATAGATTATGACTCCCAAACCCTTCCAGATGCGCCGTTGTCGATTCCCCAGCGAGCCAGAGCAAGTTAAACCCCACTGCCAAGGCCAGGCAACAATGGCCAAGCACCGAACTAGAGGCCACCAAGCGCCCAGGCGCCCCAGGCATTAGTCACGCGAGTCACGCCAGTCTCGATACGGTATTTCTCTACGAACCATTTCACCTCAAACTTCACAGCTATGAGCACGAGAACTCGTGGTACGTACCTAAGGAGTACGCAAAGAGTTGTATCGAGTGCGAATAATCATTCTGTCGGGTTATGGGAATAGGGACTGGTGAGGGGACAAGGCACAACGAGATCAACCACTCATCACAACACTATCCACTACTCTCTCCAACGCTGGACAAGTAGGTACTGTAGAAAGACAGAGACCATAAGCGACGAGTACTGCGTGCATCTCACTGTGTGGAGCGGGACTAATTCCATCAAAAGTCTGTTGCAAAAGGGCGGACGAGCGACGAGCGAAGCGAGCAGATGACTGACTAATTCCTGTCTGTATAAAGAGACCTGCCTGCCTGGCTTGTTGTGTCTATTTGTCTGCTTGTCCGTCAACTTGCATACCTCCCTATATACCAATCTACCCACCTAGCGACTTGCCCTCCCGCCAGGAAAAGCTCGGCGTCCAACTCATCACACAAACTGCATCGTATCTTACCTCAGCCGTTCCACCTCCTCTTGAAACCATCTCCACGCGACAAGAACAGTTCGTCTCTGTCAGGCCAACCGCCCTACATATATAGGAGAGAGTAGACATCGCCCTTCATCTCAACCAAACTCAACAACAAAACCACACCGCAATAATACCTCCCAGCCCCACCTCAATCAAAATGTCATCCCCAGCGAACGACAAATCCAAGTCTGCGAGCTTGAACGCCGAGACTGCCTCCATCCAGAGCACTTCGACCATGTCGAGTCTCAAGGCTCTGCTGCACCCCAAGAACAAAAAGGAGAAAACCCGCGTCCCACCCGAGACCATGGAACAGAAGACCACGAGGAGGGAGGCTACTGCCACCTATATGGCGATGAGATAGATTTGCCGACACGGAAGATACACAGCAGAAACTGGGGAGACAGGGTCAGGATACAACCCACCACGCTATAATGAACGATGCCGATATAATGAGGTTGGATAGGTTGTCAGTGAGCGCCATCTAGTCTGAGATTCTGTAGAAATGAAGATTCCCATTGAGTGTTGTCTGGCGTCATTTTCCACGTGTCAAGGAGTGCCGGCTGACTTCCTTGCTGACATCCAGCCTTACCACGTGGGTGTCATCTGGCCCCTATTTCACCCATAATATAAAAGGCACCGAGACTCGTACCACTCTGTCTGCTTCTTGGCTCATGCCCCAATCGCCACAGAAAATGCCCATCGATAATGCCCGCGCCGAACATGTAAGGATCGAGTCACGGATGATTCTTGAAGCGTGTCCACTGTCCACCTGGCCAAAATTTTACTTAAAAGACTCCGTGAATGGCGCCAAAGTGTCCATCTTTTATTAAGTCGCCAGGGTCGCGTCGATTGTTGGCCAAGCATCTCGGCCACAAACAAGCTCGGCTGGAGATCTGAAAATTCGGCATGGCGAACACCGCATCCCCTTATCGGAAAAGCTTCTGTTGATCAACGGCGGGACTGGTCTGTTATCTCCGCTCCCCTGGTGACAGCCGAGATGGTTACGGCCTCTCGAGATTGATCAGAAACGGAAGTCCGCTGGTTTCCACTATGCAAAGTTCTGTTAATCGAGAAGCAGAGGATTCGATGCCACGGCCTTACTCGGTTCACTGCTCACTGCTCTAGCTGAGTGCCAACTTGCTGAGTCATTGACCGAGCTTATGAGCGAGCTAACGACCGAGCTCGTCTGCCGTTACGAGCGAGCCCGCAGCGAACCGCGTTGCTGGCAAGCTGGATCGTACAAACTCAGGCCGGCGACTTTCTGAAACGACAGGGTCTTCAACGGCTTCGTGTTGTCCCGTCCAATAAAGCAGCCCCATCTAATCTAATCATTGTTCAAAATTGCTTCCATGGCGGTGCTTCGCTCTTTCGCAAAGGCCGAAGCGTCCAATTGTATGGTCATCTCGGGTGCATTTCGATCTGGCTTCCGACTTTTCGATATATCAATGATAAATCAGGGGATCGCTTTTAGGTCCAGCTTAGCCTTTTCTCCCAGATCTGCCTCTCTTCCTCTTTCTGTTAGCCTTGAGATACAAAAAGAGAGAGCGAGCTCGCGCCTCCCACGGTTTCTTCCCACAGCCTATTCTGGTCTGTTCGAGCGGCAGAAAACAACTACCACTTAAACCTCCCCTTGATTTGACTCGACTCTTCCGACCATCGTCGCCATGTCGCAGGACCTGGAGAAGCAGATCCCCATCCGCGAGGAGCCAGAGTCCGAACCTCAGGAAAGTCTTGTTGTCCCCATCAACAAAGATGTCTCGGCTTCACCTACCGAGAAGTCGTCGCTCGATCAGCCCGCCCAAAATGAGACTCCAAAGCCTGCCAACCCGTGGATGGACCCGTCGTCGTTCCCGGACGGCGGTGCACAAGCCTGGCTCACGGTCGCTGCCGCCAGCGCCTGCTTTTTCGTTTCCTGGGGGTATGTGGTCCTCGCTGTTTATGGTGGAACATGAACACTGACATCCCTGTTTCCAGATGGATCAACTGTATCGGAGTCTTCCAAGACTACTACATGCGCGCCGAGTTGAAGCAATACTCACCCAGCACCGTTGCCTGGATTCCGTCGCTAGAAACATTCTTTATGCTCGCCACAGGACCTGTGGCCGGCTTCATCTTCGACAACTATGGCCCAACCAAGCTACTCATTGTCGGTAGCTTTCTGCATGTTTTCGGCTTGATGATGGCCTCCCTCTCCAAGGAATACTATCAGTTCCTCCTCAGCCAGGGCGTCTGCAGTGCCATTGGTGCCTGTTGCATCTTCACCCCGGCGGTCTCGTGTGTCTCGACATGGTTCTTTCACAAACGTGGTATGGCCATTGGAATCACCGCTGCAGGCAGCTCTCTCGGCGGTGTCCTGTTTCCCATCATTGTTAGTCGCATGATCGAGGAGACAGGGTTTCCGTGGGCCATGCGGACCTGCGCCTTTCTCATTCTGGGCCTCTGCACCTTTGCTGTCTTCACGCTGCGCTCTCGGTTCCCTCCGTCTCGGCGTCCTTGGAGCATCATGGCCTTCCTCCGGCCCCTCAAAGAAGTCCCCATGATCCTGCTCACTCTTGCCACTTTCTTCTTTTACTGGGGCATGTTCCCGGTATTCTCCTTCGTCACAGCCGTGGCCAACGGCAGGGGAATGTCGCTCGAGCTAGCTCAGTACCTCGTTTCCATCCTGAATGCCGGTTCTGTCTTTGGTCGGACATTACCAGGGTTGTTGGGTGATCGAGTTGGGCGCTTCAACGTCATGACTGTCTTTTGCACTCTGACAGCCATTTTAATCCTGGCTGTGTGGATCCCCGCCACGAGCAACGCAGGCCAACTCGTGTTTGCCCCATTGTTTGGTTTTGCCTCAGGTGCTGCCATTGGGCTGACGCCTGCTCTGATTGCACAAGTTTCCCCAATCAGGGAGATTGGTGTGCGGACAGGCACGGTCTTTGCCGCGGGTTCGATAGGGGCGTTGACGGGGTCGCCAATCGGAGGCGCCTTGATCACTCGCGATCACGGAGGCTTTCTGTACCTTCAACTCTTTGGCGGTTGTGTCTGTCTTGTTGGGTGTTTCTTCTTCCTCATAGCTCGGATATACCTGGTTGGCACTGATCTGAGGAAGAAAGTGTAGTTGGGAATGAGGGCCATTTGGCAGGAAAAAGCCAGTTTCGCGACGACCTGTGTTTACTTGTATTAGTGATAGATAGACATAGACTCCACTTGAACAAATTTCATTGCATACGGGATATAGATGGATTCACAGGGAAGAAATGAAGTTTTGCATGGTGAAGTCTGGAGCGAGAGGTTTATTTCAACTCTACCGAATTTCCGCGGACAGTTCGTATGGGCATAAGAAGTACATAGGCCATGGTAGCGGCAGTGGTGGTAGGGATCAAGGTGATGGTGGTGGCGCAGGTGCCAGTCAAACTGCGGCATGTGGCACAACTTCGTCCACGGCCAACTGCGCCCAATGTGTTTGGCTGCGCAATTCTGTCACAAACATCTTGTCATCTCATCACTATCACATCCTCATCCTCGTCTTCATCCCATCTTCCACCCACCATCCACCATCATGATCGAATTAGAACAGATTTCCCTTCGAACGTCGAATTACTCCTCAACATAGTCGCTATCTTTGGGATCGTCGCAGTCATCGGCCATCTCCACATCTTCCAGTCTCGCTGGTATCTCTTCCTCATTACCAGAAGTTTCGCCCGCGTCAACAGGCGTTTGAGTCTTGGACTTGACTCTGCGCCTGCTGCTCCTCTTCCAATTAGCCACAAGACGAGCGACCTCCTCCATATCGTACGCTTCGATGGCGTGCACAAGAGCATCCTTCGATTTAGTCAATTTGTCCACCATTTGCTCCAAACCATGACTGCTCGCTTCAAGCTTTTTCATTCGAGTTTCCAGGTCTCCCTTCTCCTTCTGCCACACTCCCCCCAGATCATTGGCTTTCATTGCTTTTGTTTCAGCTTCCACGGCCCTCGTTCTTGCTTCCAACACCTGTCGTTGCATTTTGACATAGTTGCAACAGCCCTTCTCAATATCGAGGTCCCAGCCTGGCATCTCGAGCTTCTCCAGGTGGTTTCCCAGTATCCTGGTGGTCTCGTCGGTCCAAAAGTTGGGCAACGTGACTTGTTTCACGGCCGCCTCGTCTGCATGCCACAAGACAACTGCGATCTTGACCATGTCACCCGGTACTCGGTGGGACATATTGACAGTCAGCCACCACTTTTTGAAGGCGGCCTCTTGAAGGAAAAGCCCACGTGTGAAGCTCTTGATGGTTTCGCGTCTGAACTCGGTGGAAGGCCCGTATACCATCAATCCAGCAAATCGGGTCTTGCTTACTTCGATGTTGGTGCGCTTGAGTTCGAAAATCAGGCTGTCCTTCACAAGATCCTTGACAGCTTCGATGGAGTTCATAGTGTCAATGTCGGACTGTACCTCCCGTGTGAAGCGGCCTGCTTGGGGAGCTGCGACATGAACCAGGACTGGCAGAATTTCCGGCAGCAACCACCCCTGGAAAAAATGTCAGCATAACACCGCAGGACGAGGACGGAGTTCTGGACTAGGACATATGCATTGCCAGCGAAGAATGCCCAGAAGACCTACTGTGATGTGCTTGTGTTTGTGAGTGATCTTTTCGGCTTCGGCTACTCCAAGCTCTTCCCAAGTCTCAAGAAGCGGGTACTTGGTGTTCGTGATGGTTGTTTCGGGATGCGCGATACCAGGGCCACTCTCTTGTGCGGCGTCATCGGCGACTCTCCAGCCGTTTATGTTCTGATGCAATTGCCGACTCTTCTTTATGCTCACCCTCTCCTGCTTGTGCTTTGTAACCTTTGGTGTCATGTTGACCAAATTAACTTGACATAGGCAGGAGGACGCAGTTGATGGGCCGTTTCGCAACTCCCGCCAGCACCAAGTGTTGGTGCACTTTTCAAGAAGTCCAAATACGATGAGCAAACTTGAGCACGAGGAGGAACGGAGGCACAGAGCCTGGGGCACAGGCTGGCGCAAGAGGAAAGGTAAGGAAATGCAGAAAATTGACACACGAACAAGGCATGATAGTAACAGAGGCAGTTGTTCGTTCACTTCACATCACTAACTCCTATCTCTGACCTACCTCAGAGCTTTCTGCCAGACCCTTCACGATTTCACTCTGACCGAGCAGTACTAGCACTAGCACCCTCCTCCCTCCTCATCATGACTACCTTGTCGGCCAGCACTGGTATGATCAGCGCAGCGAACTGTGCACACTGCGATGATAGCAACACAAGGCTTGACGATGAAGTACAAAAACAAGAGGAGAAAAATAGTATTTCCAGACGCACATCCGATTAAAGCATTCGATCACCATCCGTGAGGGACCTCGTTAACCACCTCAGCCAAAACCCCAAAGACTCGCCGATGTGGAGAGGAGGCCCGGAGAGCCTCTTTTGCCACCAAGGTATTGGACCTTTCCGCTCGACTGATGTAACCTATCAGGGGAGGCAAAGGGATTTGTGTTAAAATTCTCAGCCTCAACTTGTCAGGTGACCACAACCACCACCCATATATCGCAAAGGACATGATGACAGCTTCACTTTACTGTTCTGGCTGCTTTTGAGCGTTTGCATGGTGCAACGCTCAGAGGAAGAAGCTAGTCTCTAAGTACGGGTACGTTGTCTGCGCCCTGGGGGTTGGCCGAAGCGGAATTCAAGGTGAGTCCGTCCCTGGTGCGCTGTACCAGTTACCTACGTGCTTCGGAGCGTCCATCCCTGAACTTTCGTCGACCATGGCTGCCTGGTCTTACTGACGCCTTCGGTGGTAGGCAATCGTACGCTCCTGAAACTAGTTTGGGTCGAAACCTGGCCATCGATGCGGCCTTTGAACCCTAATCCCCCAATCACATGAGTCAGCCCACTCTTCAGCGGTGAGATAGTCGCCGAGTCCCCGTATCAAGGGAGCAGTCTGGCAGTCTTTTGGTTCCGAACACTGACCGGGGTGAAAAGAAACGCGCCGAAAGAGATGGAATTGAAGGATGCCCGAGAGTTTTGTGCGAATGATCAGAACATTTCTCGTCTGATTTTGTGCGACCAATCATTCCATGGCACGCGCCAACTGCAGTTGCAGGGGACGCAAGCATTAAACCTCATTGAGACAGGTTCGTTTTATTCTCTCTCGTCCCTCGTGACTATGGAAGCAATGCTCCTTAGCCGATGCCTTCTGACAGGGAGCAAGTGTTGATATTTACAATTGCTACTATTGCTCCCCGATCATCATGGGACGGGCCGATCGATACTGGGGTCATTTTAAGCGGATTGACGAGGGGTAGTAAATGTTCTTCTTTACTAACGGGTTTTAGACAAGACTAGCCTGGGCCAGGTGATGGGTACTCAGGCACCTTCAAGGAGACTCGGAGAACTACATTACGTCGGTGTGGATGATTGTTTTTGTTGGCAAAGGGTTTGCAGACGCCCGTCTGCTGCGCAAGGACGTTCTCAACTTCCCATCCACAGCTTCACCAATGTTTTGTTGCCATGTAGCCTACGAGGTTCGACGCTTTGACGATCTAAGCAACCTGAGAATTCCTTCCTGCCACCTGCATACCATTTAGCGCCATCATACCATCCTTCTTCCACGCTGCTGCAGGGCGACGAACCGAATGTTTCCATCACCCCGGACACTGGCTGCTCGTCAAGGGCACATGTAGCCCCACCCTCTTGGACGCAACACTTCCAACGTTCACAAGCGGTGCTATCTCGGAGGCAACCCCGTTCTAGCACCGTCTATTTGGCCTTGGAACTGGGCAAATCAAACCTACAGGTTGGATTGCATGGTTGCAAACTGAGATTTCAAGAGAGGTTTCACTTACGGCATTTGAGGGATACCATCTTGATTGTGGATTAATATGGGTTGATCTAGCGTGTTAATTTCGGGCATGGTCCGCAGGCGGTGAGGGCGAGAGCACATTCTAGGGTCCGAACTAGCCGTTGCGGCTCAGTTCGTAGGCATCCTCTGCAGAGTTAATACGCTAAGCTTCACGCCCCTACAAGGCGCAACCGGAGCCTGGGGTGACCCCGAAATACAATCGTCACAATGGACAATTAGGAATGACAGGGCAACACTCTTGGGTGGGCACGCATTTTGCGGCTCGAAGCCACTGACTGGATCTTGTCCAGGGCAATCATCTACTCGCAGGATTTCTCAGGAGGCCGACGGCTTAGGGTTCCGTTACTCGACATATCTGCTTGCCAGCAAACATGCGAACGTCGAAGATATTGCACCCCCTTGAACAAGGATTGCCTAAGCAAAAGAAACAACGATCCGAGAGCCTCAGCTTGACAAGACTTTCGTACACGACGTGCACGATGATGAGAGGTAGGTCATTTGAGGATGACTTGTTCGATATGTGAGATGTTGTCGCCATTGGGGATGACGCTGTGGCACGAAAGACCTTAGCATGTTCGCTGATTTTGTGTGTCACTCACCAATACGACAATCTCCGACAAGACCCCTGTCAACTAGCAGATATCCTCTGCAAGCCAAGCGCCTTACTTTGGTTATGGTTGCGCAAGGGAGATACAGTCCGGCCAGCAGACAGCCCGACCTTGGGAAGGGAGAAGACCCTTGGCTTTGTTGACTGGCGTCCTATAAAGGTCTGCTATCAGCCATGGTCCTCGGATACTCTCGAACTGCTGGAAGCAATCTTGAATTTTTCAAAGCTGCCCGAAGCACCTTCCGCACAGTCCTCAGATAGACCCTGCCTCCCTGACTATATTCCCCCGAAGAAGAATGACAGGCTCCCAGGAAGGGAATGGTCGGAAGCCAGGTCGCCAAAACAAACGCGGCGGTTCAGGACACAAGAAGCGCTTGAGATTCATTAGAGAGAGACCGGAGAGACATAAGCTCCGGAGTTGCGATTACTGTTTTACTGTACATCGCAGGGTACGTGTTTCTTTGGTACTTCGGTCTATTAGAGCATCCGAACTAACAGCAAATTGCCAGTGCGCACGACGAATACCAGGAAGGAAGTGCAGGAGGTGTGAGCGAAGAAACAATTATTGTAGTTTTGAGTCTTTGCCACGTCGACCAAGCGGTACGACGGCTCCTGGGAGTACTCATCCTTCACCTGGCGTCAACCCAACCCCGGTAGCACAAATTCGTCAAAGGTGTGTGTATCAAGGCGTCTTGGTCGAGACGGAAGCTGACGTCGGCTGCAGTCCTGGCAACCAACCCGATCCAGGCTTGATTCCAACCTCTTTTGACCAAGATGGGACAACCTGGGACAGCTACTTCGAAATGTTCCCTCGCCAATCTTTTGCTCACACTCTAGGCACTTCCGGACAGCCAAACAGCCTGTCCGGCTTTGTTGGTCCTCATGCGTACCAAGCCAGGTCAATATTTCCCTCGGCAAACGAACAGGGTCAGCAAACGGACGGTGGTAACGAGGAGGAGATAGATGAGGAGGAAGAGGAGGAGGAGGAAGAAGAAGAAGATGATGATGATGATGATGGGTATGATGATAACAATGATGATTATGACGGAGGGGCAGGGCCAGGGCCAGAGGAGGACAAAGACGAGGGTGCAAAAGAGAGCGTATGGTCTGGGGTGCTGGTCGAGAGGCAGAGGTACTATTAGGACCCCGTATAGGGAGCACAATGTCAAAACACAAAGGGAGGGGAGGGGTGGGGAGCTGCGAAACATGGGGCATGTGGTCTTCAACAGGCCTTGCGATTTACATTAGGAGGAGAGTTGGAGTGGCACACAGGACGGACACTGTCTCTTTTTTCTTTTGTTGTGCTTCTTGCTGCTGTTGTTATCGTTTTTGAATTACTTTGATGTTGTGGAGGCTCAACGGACGACGACATGATCGAGTGCGCCTTTTTTTGTTATGTCTCATACTTTCATAGCAACCGTAATTGACCATGAATCTTGTCATCAATGATTTTTTTCGTCTGCCTCCTTTTTCCGCCGTCAAAGCGTGACTTGAAGAATACCGGAAGTGGTGAACGGGGTTTTTATCTGGTACCCTCGCTTCGCAGCCTCGACCCCTGCCTTGGGGATGGATTCCTTGACAGGCATCCAGACATGCACAGCAAGGCTTGAACAATGGACAATGCATGGACAATGGTGCTTGTCCTGAGTACGAAGTACGGACAAGGTGTGGATTAAAGTAGCCGAAACTCACTAAATTTACGAGGTACCTACCTAGGGACTAGGTATGCAAGCTATGTACCGAGTACCGAGTGCAAAGTACATTCGGGGGGGCCAACCCACCGTTTGTAGATCCCCTAGCCCAAAACCAAGCCAAGCTGTGCCCTAACATAGCCGCTACCGGTGCCTAGATCTAGCAGTTGTTAGCTGTACTCGGTACATATGTGTTACTGGGGTTGGTGTTGGGGTTTGAGTTTGGGGTTCAGGGGTTAATAGCTTATAGGTACGAGGTAGGGCCATAGCGCTGCCACGCAGGGCAGGGTAGGGTAGTGGCAGGATAGGCGGTAGGGGGCACTGGGCTCACGCTTGGGACACCTATCTTCGAGGTGCCTAGAGGTATGAGGTAGAGGTACGGGGTACATATGTACATGCAAGTTCAGGAACAGTAACCCACGGGCCACGGGGACATAGCGCCTGGTGGGTGATGGCCTTTATAGAGTACATAGGTACCTATACAGTACCTGCGAGTGAATAGGTACAAGTGCCGAGTACTCGGTACTCGGTACGGAATCTGGATGAGCACTGACCAAGCCTACCTACGGAGTAGCTGCGTGGCTGCCTGAGGAGCGGGTAGCAGGTACCCTCGAAGCACTTGTATGTACCGAGTACCGAGTACCGAGTAGCCGGTACTTGTACGAGGGACCAAGCACGGACGGACGATCATCTGCTGCACTCGAATAATAATACGAGGTATTCTGTACCGGTTTCCTTTTCCAGAACCACACGTTTGTTGTTCGGCGGAATGTTTCTCCATGCCCTCCATATAACGTGCTACACTCGGTACCTACCTCCCTACATATCCTAGAGGTAGTGGTTTATATATGTGAAAAAAAGAGCCATTCAACATGAGGGTACCGGGTAACACACACATATGTATAAAGACGACGATTCTCACTGAACTGTGTCACTGACATCAACGACCCGTTACACAAATCATTACTAACTAAGAAAACATAGAAACCCCAGTCTTTAAACGAAAGAAAAAAGAAGAAACTCGCTGGAAGTCATGGACCCTCGCGTCGCGGCCGTCGACGGCTTCACAAAGACTCAACACACGTCGGTCCCACCGGCGCTGGATCCTTCTTCTGTAAAGCTGGACGACGGCTTCACCGTCTGCATCATCGGCGCGTCCACGGGCATCGGCGAGCATATCGCATACAGCTTCGCGATGGCCCAAGCGACAAGAATCATCATCGCGTCTCGCACCCTCGCCGACCTGGAGATAGTGGCCGACGAGGCCAGACGGTTCAATCCCCGCGTCCAGATCGACGTGGTCGAGTGTGACGTCTCGAAAGCGCCGGAGGTGGAGGCCCTCGCAGACTATGTGAGAGGACATTGCAGCGGGCGATTGGACGTGCTCATCCTCAACGCGGGCTACGCCGGCCCCGTCGTCACGAAGATGGACCAAGGAAGGCCTGAGTGGGTGCAACAAGCCTTTGAAGTCAACGCCCTGGGCACCTACCTCACCGCACATTACTTTGTGCCTTTACTCGTGCAGTCACAAAGCAAGGCGAAGGGATTCATCGCCATTGGGTCCATCGCGGGGTGCATCAGACGAGGACCCATCGCAAACACGGGGTACACGGTCAGCAAGTTTGCGCAGATTCGCCTGGTCGAATATCTTCACGAGCAATACTCTGGTACAGGGTTGGTCAGCCTGGCACTTCACCCGGGAGCGGTCATGACGAGAATGGCGAGCGGAAACACGCCGGAAGAATTCATGCCTTGTGAGTCGCCGTGGCTCCAGTATCTGCCCATTGGCCATGCTTGACTAATTTATTACCCAGATATGACGGACGAGGTCGATCTCTGTGGTGCAGTTTGTGTCTATCTCAGTAGGCAGATTGGCGATCTCGGTTGGCTGAGCGGGAGACTGATATCTGCCACTTGGGACATGGAGGAATTGATGGCCAAAAAGGCAAAGATAACAGAGAAAGATTTGCTCAAGTTCGTCCTAGTGACCGAGTAAGGAGGAGTCGCGTACGGTAAATGCGCATCACGACTTACTCGTCTTCCACATGCCAATTTGAGGGTTTGATTCGGTTGAACAAACTCAAACTGTCTACTCCCAAGAACTAGACATGGTCCGCCGCTAAGGCCCAAGAAGCAGTTGGGCAACCTCATTCAACTGCGACAACCACGACTGGCCTTCCTGCAGGTCTGGGATGACGATGCAAGGTACCAGATGTCAAATGCCAATCCCGACCAGTCGTCTGCAGGTGTGGTGGCACACATTCACATGATCTGCATGGCTTCGGGACATAAATAGAAACCAGAGGGCCAGACCTACGCCAACCGGCCAGAAAGAGTGGGAGAAGACGTGGGCTGAATGGATGTTGAAAAGGAGTTGTTCTTGAGTTGTTTCATGCAACCTTCTGGCCATAGATAACCCTATCCAACAACAGTTACACACGTACGAGTAGATCGCCCCGGTTGTTTGTGCCGGCCTGGTCTCTTCACGGGGCCAATGCAACGTATCGAGGTTTTCATGACTTCACCTCAAATCCACATGACCGGATTCGTTCGGTCTTCCAGCAGGAAACGTCCGGTGAAACAGGGAGCTGAACGTGACGAGCGTTTCAATGTCAAGCCACTGATGCAGGAAGTAGGACGCATGACGCAGGGCATGGGAGCGTGGAGCATGGAAACGATGGATTTACTCGCAGAGTCGACGTGTCTTAAAATGCCGAATGCAGGCGATGGAACGGTCGAGGACGCCAGCGACGGCCATGGATGGATGGGACAACGGGAAGCAGGAAGCTGATGTGGAGGACGAAAGCGAGAGGCCGGAATCTTGATTTGCTCAGTTTGAGGCAAGGTCTGGGATCGATGGGTCCGTCAAAGGAAGCTGGCCTGGCTGGTTCTTTGGCCAGGTTCCACTCAAATGCTGAAAGTGGCAAAGACGCCCAGCTTCCTTTTGAAACCTGCCGCAGGAGGTGAGAGACGAGGGCGCGCTCAGTGCTGTAAACAGAGGCCTTGCCAGCGTGTTCTGGGCCAGCTTGTCAGCTGCAGGCGAAACAGGAGAAAAAGCATCTTCTCCGCAGGAGTTTGACTGGGAGCGAGAAGGATACTGAGAGTACCTAGTAGGCAATGGAAGGAAGAAAGGAAGACGGATTACCAGCCTCCAAGCCCAATGATAGTGGTTTGATAGTGGCTTTTAGCCTTGATGCCGACTTTCCGCTCAGCAGGCATCGTCCGGGTACCATCACCGCCTAGGGCAGCCACTCCGGCTTACCTATTGCGCGAAGTTCCAGCGGTGCCAGGTTGGTAATGAGCGTATCGCATGGGGGGTGGGTTTAGGCTGCTCGGCTAGCCATCGCGTTTTCAGAGGTCTGGAGGTCATTCTGGCATTGCCCACGTGCGACTAGTTTTCTTGTCACTTTGTCCTCTTTACCAAGTACGAGGTGCTCGTATCTCGCAGTTCCATCATCTCCACAAGTGTCTCTGATTGTTTGCCTGCTTCAGCCTCTTTTGTTACCATAGTCACATCACAGCGCATAGGTATCCTATCTTCTGTCTCATCGGGTACTCAATACACGTATCGAGCTCGTCCGGACCCAGTTCCCAGAAAAATCATTCGATCCTTGCCTGCTCGTCCTCCACCACATTACCCAATACTCGCATATCCCGCCCTCGTCCGCGGCTGATCTGACAGGGTTCCCACGCTGAGAAGAGGTGGAAAAGAGGAAAAAGAGAATCCACACCTCCCACAAACCTGCGGGCTCAGCGTTGGGTGGCTCAGTAGCAGCCATCGTCCGAGCCACGATATTCCCTTGCCTGCATCACTAGTGGCCCCAAAACTCTCTTAACTGGGACAAGCCGCAGCTGGCACCTCCGAATCTTCCTCAACCCAGCGTTCCCTGCAGAGAAGCTTAACCAGGTCTTAGAGGCACACTCTCTATCACCAGCCTTTTTATTTCTCTTCCATCTTCCCACACGCACCAGTTCTTATTGTCACTCACTGTTCACTACTGCATCTAGAACGAACCTACCTCTCGTTTGGTTCGTCCATTTGCTTTCCTGCCATTCCATTGACAGCGATGATCGGCCTGCGCAAAGCCTTCGTTTTCAGCACGTTGCTGCTGGGCACCTTGAGTTCGCCCGCACATGTTCCAGAAGATGACCATGCATTAATCAACTGGGAGGCATTCCAATCGTTACTCGACACCGTTGACCCTGCTGCCCTGCATTCCGTCCTCCACTCGCTCTCCCCAAAATTCCAAGACGGTGTCTTCAGCAAGGACCGCGCAGCCATTGAGCACGTCCACTCCGAGAATCCAATCATTGCAAGCAAACTAGTCCACCTCGCAAAAAAGAGACAGGACAGCAACTCGACCACCACAGCCACGACAACACCCTCCACGGATGCTCAGAGCAGCGTTGCTTCCGAATCGAGCTCTCGGGCAGCCAGCGTCTCTTCCATC